TAATAAACTACCCTCAGCGAATTCTCTCTTGCGGTTTTTCTCTTTTTTTACAAACTCCTAAGTTAAAAAAGTGTAGTACATACATAAAGTGTTTGACATGACATTCTACATTGGAAAAGTTTTATTACACTTTTTGGAAATATATTCGACAAGAATAATGTTCGTGACAATTTCGTCGTCCATTATACTTTGAATTTTGATGTTACATAAATACGAAAAATCATATTATGAATTGTAGAGTGATAAAAATTTTTTGTGTAAGCTATGAACATATTAATTATGATATTTTTTCGATATTCATGATTCATCAATGTGATATTGGCAACTTCATATTATCATTTATTTCTTTTAATCGTTCCTAAGTTGTTGGCTCAATCAGATTTAGTTTCATTTTGATAACTATATTAATATTAATAACTAGCTCTGAAAGTGTCAATCATAGAATTACAAGAAGGTAGATGAATACAATACTCTCCTGAAGTCTATTTCATATTAGTTCAACGTCATTATTTGAAGTTACTAACAGAGTAAATCAAGTAAAATCAATAAACTAGAATATGGTAGATGAATACAATACTCTCCTGAAGTCTATTTCATATTAGTTCAACGTCATTATTTGAAGTTACTAACAGAGTAAATCAAGTAAAATCAATAAACTAGAATATGGTAGGTACTTATTCCTTTTGATTTATTTTCGACATCAACTGAAGCATAATGTTGTTAGACAATGCAGCGTTGTATGGACATGTTAGTTATTTTCATTGTCTGCTGAATATGGAGAAAAAATCTAGTGAGCTGGAACTACTGGTCTTCCCTATAGCTCAGTTGAGTGTATGACCACTAGAGGATGTTACCGTATCGTACGAAATGATCTTCACTTTTTTCTAGAAAATTTTCGAAATTTGTGGTTATGTAAGTTGTCACTAGTTGTCAGTGTCAAGAGCTGTCATGCCATCGTGACTTGTTTTGTATTTTTTTCTAAAATATCATTCTTTTTCAATTCTCATTGTTCCAATATTTCTTTCGTTTATAGATAATATAGTTTTGTGTTGTGCTCCCAGTATTATAGTAGTTTATTCTGATTATCAGTGTGTAACAAACTCTGTCTCCTCTTATTGTGCCTACCAGAAATTGTGAAGTCATCTCCATTCATGGATTTCCAAGTGATATTCCTTTGCGACATAAGTGGATACATTCGATATTGAGTGTTACAGGATCATCACAAGTAAGAAAATGAGAGCCTTCATCAAATGCTAATAATCGATACTACTGATTCTACCTCTCATGGGAAAAACGATTCCATCTGGTTCAAGAATAGGTGTCATGGCAAATCATCATTTCCTATGAGAACTGAAAGCATTGGATCATTCTCCTATAGGATCTAATTCCTACAGATTCGAGAATCGGGCCTCAGAGCTGTAAGGGCCAGTATGCCAGTGAGGGGGCTCGGTCTCTACATATCTGTCATATCTCCACAACTGCATGAACTATTTTTGAATTTTTGAGTGACTGAGTGACCGTGACCCGTGAATGTCGTGACTGAACTCAAACTCACTGAACAAACTACGCCGCCGTCCGAGACTGCCGAGAGCACCACTGAGGGAGACTCCAACTCATTTACGATTTTCAAGGTTATGTAGGTATGACAGGAAAACAATTTAAATGAGTGTTTCCTCGAGTTGGCCGTATGGCGGTACTACTGTATCGGCCACAGAACCCTGTAGGTGATTTCCCTTGTTTGGCAGACCAGATACTCCAGCTCACTAGATTTTTTTCTCCATATTTAGCAGACAATGGTTATTTTAACTGGTCAACTGAAACTAATGTCATATCAGATGTAACCGAAAGTATTTCTCATGAGAAATATATTACAAACATGTTCAATAGATTTCACGAATGTATGTTATTCGCCTACCTCATAAAACTAGATCTAGTCAAATATCCATGAAAACATTTTTTGAGATTATTCACCTACTGGAATTTATAGCCAAATTTATTTTTGTAAAAGATGTAAATGGATGGACTCAACGTTTTATATAATGGCACTTTTAACCCGATCCCTCGATTTAGAAGTTACAAAAATAGATAATAGGTACAGTGAACATTGATCATAATACTAGTATTTCTGCTTCTACTAGTATTTCGTTTTTATAATTTCAGAAGCGAGACGTGGAACTCAAAGAACCCTAGAAATGATCAAAGTACTTGTCAAGATGTTTGACATTTTTTTAAACCCATTATCTATTCAGATTTTAGATTAACTGTGCACATAAACACTTCTAGGGAGAAGGGGTGAAACCCATAAGCGCACAAGTCAAATTGTTACAAAAACTCACAGAGTATAGCGAGTGATGACCGACCGAGTTGAAGGTCAAATTCATCACTTCGAATTATATGAAACATTGAGTTCAGTTTTTCAAATTAGCTCTTAGGTGCCAAACAAATGAGATATCAATCCTATCAGATTATTGAACTTATTCCTTATTCGAATTACTCTATTTATAGTTCCTTCAAAATAATGGATATACTCATACCCATCTATTTCCTTCGAATTATTTTCTTGAGAAATATAATTCCGTTCAGTCAAATTAGTTGGTTATAGATGTTGTGTGCTTAAGAAAAATCAGAACTTGTAATACTTTTTCTGAAGATATGTTATTTTCGATTTGAATGGGTTTGAATCTTGCTTTATGTGTTTGAACCTCGAAACTAGGAGGAACTGAAGTCCTTAAAATACACGAACGAAAGCACATGAACAGGATGAGACAAAAAAAATCACTTGAAAAAGAACGTCGGAATTTGGCTTATGAAATTCAATTATTGATTCAGCTTATCCATGGCAAATAAGAAGTATTCAAGAATACACATGAAAACAGTAGCTAAAAAACGATAGTTTGTATTTCCAGGACTTTAATCCGTTCAACTCGAATGTTCTGAACATAGCGTCCCACATTAGTTTACGGAATATTACAACCAATTTGGGGCACATACACTAGTTCAGTTCGTGGCTGTGAAATGTATGCAGTAGGTACTTTGCAAAAAATTCACATTGAAAAATTTTATCTGATCCGATTTAATCCATTTGTTGAGATTAAGAAAATGACACTTTTTGAAAACGAATGATATTAGTTATTCTTTTAGATGTATAAAATTGTGCTGTGATAAATGAGACAAGCATAAAATGAGTTTGAAATATCCGATTCGCTAAATTTGTAATCAATGTAATGCATTTTATTCATAATAATTATCATGAGCACAGATTAGGCATTATATCCGTGAAATGTGTATATTTTTCGGATCAATCTCATAATAGTTTATCTAGATTATCTAGTTTATGTAGTGTAGTATGAAATGACAAATTTAAAAAAAAATAATATGTCCCTAAATATCGCGCTTATCAAGAAAGACATTTTTACATGTCCTACGGTGGCGGCTCGTGTCACACATTATCATTATCACACATCCGAGAATGGTATGGCAACATTGGTATGAAAATATTTTCCTGAAGTTGGCAATCTTGACTAACCTACAAATCCCACGTTCGGATTCGGTGTTCGATGTGGTCTGCAAACTTTTGTTGCTGCAGCCGAAGGTATTTGCACCACATGTTCACAAAATATATTTGCTACTACCTACAACAATGGTTCATTTCTGGTAATAAAGCATCACTGAGATAAATCACAAATTTGAAAAAAAAGGTTTGGATTTCTTCCATTGAAATAATCACTTTCTGTAAAATGCCGTGGGCAAACTCATGAATAACATGCGACAAAACAATAATGATTGAATATCTACTGTAGAATTCGAACTCATCATTAAACTTTCAATAAAACTCATGAAAACATGTATGTAAACAAACATTCAATGTACTTTCTATAGGTCGCGTGCACGAAGACCGACCCTGGAGGCAAAATATTGAAACACAACCTCATTCTTCCGTGAATTATTGAAACACAACCTCACTTTTTTATTTGGTTACAGGGGAATCAAAGGAATGAAATAGTTTTTCACAATATTTTGGCATACGAATCGTGTTTTTTGCGCTATTCATTAATTCGAGCATGCCTTCGCATTGTGCTGTTGTACAATGCACAAAAAATGCAGCAAGAGACTAAAGTATATGATTTTTCAGGTAAATAGTAATCTCACATAGTTATCATTATGGAATGTGTTGTCATTCCTTATTAAAATTCCTTCTGCCTTCTGCCACTTCTGCAATACAAGCTAATACTGCTAATTGATTGAAAATGTCTACAACACACACGATCGTCAGCATGTCAGACCAGTCCTCCCGATTGATTGCATGAATCCAATCTTCTTGCATTATTTTAGAAATGTCAGGTGTATTTCTATTAGCTCCTATCGCAGAAGGAATTCCGATGAGAAATCAGAGAAATTACCAAATTTCAAAAATGAAAACTATATGTGAGTGACTATAGTAGATACTTACTTAGAAATCATAATGTAACAACCGGATTACTTCGTCTTCCGCTGCAGTTTTTGTGCATTTCACAACAGCATAATATAATGGCATGAGCGAATTGATGAATAGCGAAAAAATACGATTCGTATGCCAAAATAATTCTGAAAAACTATTTCGATCACTTGTGAACAAATAAGAAAAGTGACGTTGTGTTTCAATGTTTTGCCTCCAGTGTCGGTCATCTGACAGTTCTTGCACGCAACCCATTAGCTACTTGAATATCTGTAATCACGTTGTTGTTGGCAACACTGGCTTTGAGTGTACTTGAAGAATTCGAGGTTATGTGGCTGGAGTTTTTTTTACAAGGAAACTTTTTAAAAAACTATTACTTCAAATTCGGAAATTTCAGAACAAAGAGTGGGAAAATAGAAATATTCCAATGGACTTTTTTTTAAAAGGGTAGGCGACTCCTACACCTTGCCTACCCTGACGAGCCGCCACTGATGTCCTAAAAGAGCTACAATGTATATGTACATTAATAAATTCAATTGTGATAATAAACAAATAAACATTTTTATTATACATCAATATTTTCATTTGTTTCTATGAGTTTAGCAACAATTTTTGGTGGATTTTTAATCTGAAAATTGAAGGATTCATTCAAAAGATCTAGGAACTTGGTGTTATTTAAAATATCATGTGATAAAACTTCGTTATTGAATTGTGCGTTTCTACACTCCTCAAAAATGTTTTCCAATTTTTCTGAAAAACTTTCATCCTCAAGATTTTCTTTTGTTTGGCTGGGAGGTAAAGTCTTGGCGAAAACTTGTATGAGGCTATGAAGTGTTATAAAATGTGCGGTAACAGTGTCATCACAATTTTCAAAACCAATCGCCAAATTTGAAAATTTATCCTCGGCTACATTCAGAACTTTTAGTCTTGAATTGTCATTCTTGATGATACTTCCAGTAGTTTCTTCTCCATCCTCTGGGGATTCTCCATTGCAAAGTGTCACTTCAGCGCTGCTTATTATTTCCTGAAGAGAGTTTCTTCTTGTTTCTTCATCTTCTGTTGGTGTTAAGTCTTCAATAATGACACTGTCACATCCATGGACTACTTCATTCACTACATCTTGTAAAATACACTGGGCAAATTCTTGATTTTGCCTTCGCTCTTCATTTCTGGTTCGCACCTAAAATTTAGGAGGGACTTGATTATTTTCTGCAATATTTTTGTGAATAGAGTAAGAGGGCGACTCAATTGTGAAATTTCGAAGAGATACAGGGTGATTGTCTTCAATTCCTCATTCGCTATCATCTCCACTTTGGGATAAGACAATTGTGAGATAAATTAAAAAGGTAATTATGGCATAAGAGGATCATTATTTCATGTATGTATATATGGGAAACAATTTCAGGTTGGGAAAAATTAGACATCACGACCTGAAACTGTAGAAGACAGTGTGTCTATTTAGTGCGTAGTTCTTCGATATATCGGAATCCATTATCACGAGAGAAAGACTTTTGAAAACAAGTTCCTTCCGTTAGTAAAGGTTTCTATTTCAAAAATATTCTCAACAATACTGGGTGTTTTATAAAGCGGGACCACTCGAAGATGAGTTTTTTTAAATAGAACGCCCAGTATTTTTTATTGGAAATTCATTCCGCTAAGGTTCAGCTCTACATCACTGTAAAAAAAATTAATTTGGTTCCGGCATAGCCAAGTTATATTTGATAAACCCATTTTTACTACTATTGAAGGGTCATGTTGAATTGGGTATGGTATATTCATGAATTAAAATTTTGAAAATATTTTTGGCATACAGTAGTAGCAAGGTCTCACGTACACCAATCCATTAATTTTGCGAGACAATCCTTTACAGGGTGCTAAAATTTACATTTTTAATATTGTAAGATTCAGACGACGTTCATTAGAATTTTTCAAATGGAACACCCTGAATTTTTCATCACAGATTTATTTCGACATCATTCGCATTTTCATCGCTGAAAAAAAAATCAAAATCGGTTGCGGCCCCATATGAAACAAAAAAACATGCCAAATGCAACGCCTGCCTTTGAAACAACTTCAGATTTGGATTTCGAGAATAAGGACAATTTTTTAAAATTTGGGCCACTTATTGTCGTTATTCCCATAAACCAAATCTCCATATTTTTTTTATGTTCTGGTTCCCACGAAATGGGACATCTTGTAATGTTCAGAGAACATCGTGAGAACCAAGGGAAATGAGGTAGGAATTGGTGTTCTTCTTAAATTTCTGGAGGTTATATGCCTCGGCAAACACCTCCCTTGGCAATGTGTTCCAGAGCCTCGCTGTTCGTTGGATGAACGAGTCTTTGGAAAGAGATGTTCTGCAGGTCTCCAAAAGTGACCACGAAGGAGTGCGAAGCCTTACCTCGACGGGTTAATCTCGCGGGGACTGCCAAGGAAGGAACAATTGATGATAATTCAGAAGAGCATCATCCATGAAAATATCTATAAAATAGAGCCAGATCGCCCAACTTTTCTACGGTGTTCCAGAGAAGTGAGTGAGTTTGTGACCGAGGCATCACCCACGAGACGAATTGCCTTTTTTTGAACAGAATCCAACAGTTTCAGGGTATGTTTGGGTGCTGCACTCCAAATGTGGGAACAGTATTCCAGGACAGGTCGGATCTGTGTCTTATAGATCCTAAGCAGCTGACTGGAAGTGAAATAGCTCCTGGCCCGAAACAGAAAACCAAGTTTTTGGGATGCACTTTTAGCAATTGATCTCACGTTCCCAAGATAGTAATCCCAAGCATCGAAATGGATTTCTTCAAAGGTATGGTTACTCCTGACAAGCTTATGTTGGGCATAGTGAGATCGGCTTTTCTAGAGAATAGGCATGCTTGTGTTTTGTTTGCATATGATATATTGATTCAATTTTTTATTGTTGAAATGAGTCATAACCTTCCGCAATTCAAAATCGACATTTCTGGTATTACTTTCGCTTTTTCTATATAAATACTTGAGCGATGAATAATGTATACCGTATAGACCTATATCATATGCGCGCACTGTATTTTTATCCTCACCTCTTCTTCATGAATCTTCCTCTTTTCCAAAGTAGCTTCTACAAATTTATTCCCATTTTCATTGTCCCAACATATCACTTTTCCCATAGAAAGTGCTAAGGCCTTCGCAATTCCAGCAGGTATACTCTCACCCTTGCAGAAATAAAACAACATTGCCGTATAATTGAAATACTCCTCAGTAACCTTATACATTTTGAAAATCAGCTGTTTGATCAAAGCATTTCTCGAACCACCTTCAGTATCTTCAAACCACAAATCAACCGATTCATACTGTTCTTCATTTATCAATTCCATAGCATCCGAGTCTAATTCACTGTAACATTTCCTCAGTCTCAGAATATCTTCTGCACTTGGGAATGGTACCACGAGATTGTAAACGATGAAGTCCTTCCACCTGACCAGCTCTTGGCGTCCAAACAATTCTCTGGAAAGCTGAGTGATATTCTCAGGCGACATTCTAGACCAAAGCCTAGGCATCACACTTTCTTCCTCTTCTATCACCATGTCTTGAAGAAGGTAAACGAAGATGCGCTCAGGAATGTAGCCACTTGGTGCCAAATCGAATAGAATTTCAGTCATTTTTTCCAACTGAGGTATGGTGAAGAACAGGTCTTCTGGTAAGTCAGTGGAGGTTTGCTCTGGAGGAACTTCGTCAGGGAAAAATATGTGTTGTGGGTTAAGGTAGAACTCCCCATCCTTGAAGACTAGCTCTTCTTGGAGGGGAACGGCTGCTTCGATAGCTCTTGCTAAGAAGTTGCAAACGTTGTTGACTATGCTGACTTCGTGCGTGTATTTGGATCTGATATCTTCGTAGACGTTGAGCATGTTTTTCTTCACCGTGTTCAGGTTTTGTTGGAGATTTTGTTCCAGGTCGTGTCTTAGGAGTTTTAGGCATATTGCCAGTCTAGCTGTTTCTCCAGTTAGAACGCGCTTCCATTCTTCGAAGAGCTTCTCTGAATTTTGTTTCACTTCAATGTTGGGTTCGAATATCGTCGGATGACTAATATCGCCTGGAAAATTCGATATTTGTTTATTATAAATGTATAGAGCAAGATCCCATGAACGCCAGACCTTCGTTATTTTATAAGAGCTGACAGAGCATGCTTCCAACACAGGTAAGAATGATGGGCAAATATGAAGTTTAGGTCATGATGCCTTTGACAGGTTACAGGGAGCAAATGTGCTAAAAATACCAACATACTTTCGTCAAAAAAGGGTAATTTTTTAGCTTTCGAAGCAACGATGATGGGGGGAGTTCAAATAGTAGTTTGTGTTGGCCGCTTTTGTGTAAAATAATTGATGACTTCGAGTGGGGTATTGCGGTACGTTATATCGAATGGAATTATTAATTGGGATTGAGTCTATCCTATTATTTACCAACTAAAACGAGAATTTTATGTCGCAATATCTCTTCTATTTTCGAGACTAAGTATATTCAACTTTCTGCTTATAAAAGTTTTATCGACATGAGGTACGGAAGTATTTATTCTCAATATAGTGTATGAATTTGTTTTGAATATTCTCTACTTGTTTTATGTAAATAATGTACTAGGGATTCCAGATTGTAGAGTCATAACTTGAGGTGCTATTGACATGATACGAGCAGTTTTAGGATCTTTAAAATTTTGCAGTTATTTTCATGAGAACATAACATTTTTGGCGAAAAAATGTTTGTAGTCACTTCTCAAAAAATGCCCATTTTCGAAGAACACCTTGTAACTCCGAAACGAAGACAGATAACGATATGCGGTTTTCACCATTGAGTTTTGCATGAGAATCGACCCTCAGACACCGACATCAGTTTTCTTCTATCTAGTTGAAGAATAGGACTTTCCCTTTAAAAGTGACAAATTTGGCCCATCCTGTACAATAAAATTCAGCTGTTATACTTCAACGAAAGTTAAGTTACAATTCAAGAGGGTTTAAGGGTGTCTGGTGAGGGGTAGGCACCATGATAACGTGTCTGGCAATGGATGACGTGGTTTCTAATATTAATCCGAATAAAATTATAAAATAACGAAGGTCTAGCGTTCATGGAATCTTGGACTAGTAGAAGTGTCAGCGAGGAGAAATAATATGACCTAAAACAAGTTCTGGTTTAAAGGAAGTAGTAGTAAGTCAAATATATGCGTTCGTCTCAGAACCACTCAAATAATCTCTGAAGTTTGGCACATACTTGAATGACACCCTGTATATCAAGGTATTTGGGTTGATGAGAAATTAACATGGGAAAAGCATATTGACATCCTCATAGGAAAAGTATTTCCCATTATTGGTGCTTTAAGGAGATGTCCTAGTACATATACATCAAATATTATTCTCTTCACATATACTCAGTCGAATTAACTATGTCATAAATATTTGGGGATCTTGTTCCAAAAATAGTTTCAATAAAATTTCTGTTCTATATGAAAATGCATTGAAAGTATTTGTATCGTCTTCCATATGATACTCCAACAAATCAACTGTATAAGGCAACAAACACATTTTCTTTGGAAGATCACTTTTAAATCAATAATAGGTACTCTCAAAATTTCCTATTATATCATCAACAATCAGCTTAAATCAAATTTTTCATCAATTAGGAATTCCCAAATTCATGGTCATCACACTAGACAATATAACTTGTTTCATCTTGACGCTGCAAATTCTAAACTTGGACAAAAAATTTTACATATGGGCAGAGCTGGGCCGGGTACTGATAAATTGTACTCGAGTACCGGGTACTGTTTATAATTGAAGAACGAGTACAGAGTACCGAGTACCCCACTCATTGGATGTACTCAGAGTAAAGTACTCCGAGTACAAGTACCCGAATTTCACGGGTACTCATTTCAAGTACATTTGAATAGAGAATTGAGAAATTTTGCATCAGTATTAGTTATTATTAACAATAATAATATCAACAACTTCAACAATTGTCTTTTACAAATTATAAAATTGACCCATTCATTTCTTATTCATTACTAATACGTAAATTAAAGCAAAAATCAAACTACTTATTTGTCGTTGTTCACGTCGATACGTATCTCTATATAAGAGAAATATTATTGCAAAATACTATACCCTTACCTCTTAGTTCAGTGTGATTTAGTCTTAAGAAAACAACAGAACCGATACAAAAAACACTTGACTCTATAATAATTGTTACACAGTGTACAAAACAAAAACTCCGCGTTTGGTTCTGATTGAAGTGCTGACTGATAATGATGATATAACATATAACAGCGGTTTCCCGTATTGCACTCGCATATGCACAGACAAGTTTATTCTTGCAAAAAGTACCCGGAAAATGTACTCGTTTAATAAACGCGGGTACCGGGTACTTTTCCCGAAATGCTACGGGTACGAGTACCGGGTACTTTATTGAAAATGTACTCGGGTACTGGGTACTGAGTACACAAAATGTACTCAGAGTACAATATTTGAGTACTTGTACTCGAGTACTGCCCAGCTCTGCATATGGGGCGATTTCGAAATTCAATAAATTACCCTCGGCTACCCGTCAGGCATCAAATTTCACACGCGGGAGAAAATGTATACCTTTGCTTCCTTGATATATGAATAGTTATGATTTCATTTCTAATTCCAATTCAGAATTGTATTCAAATTGTTTGTGTATCATATTCTGTTGTCTGAACTTTATTCAAGTACCTATTTAATATTTTGTTATACGCACTCACCTTTTATGCTTTTGTTCTTCTTGCTTTGTTTTTCCTTCTGTTTTTCAACGTGGGGGGAGAAGACCGATTTGACTTTTTCTAGACAAGACCAGGCCCAACTTTGACACTTATTCGAAAACGCTGATGCCTTGCCGTAGATCTGCTCGACAGTTTTGCTAAAAGGATCACCTAGACAGATATACAGTACCAGGGGCGGCGAATTTTGTTATGTCCAATGGGTGCCAGAAGAGGAGGTAGGGTATAACGCACCCAAAAATGGGCCGCACATGCAAGAACTTTTTTGTTCAAGGTTAAATGCTTTCGAATTTGAAACTTTCAAAGGTCCTGGGCTTATATCACAAACAATTTTTATCTCATAATTCGATAGAACTCACTCAAACTAGTTCACCACCGCAAACCGTTTCTTGCTGTGAGCTCCCTACGTTTTATAAAAAATTATTGAAATCCCTGATTTTTCGGACCTCTGAAAACGAGGCGATGATGTGACGTCAAAACCCTAATACTGAAACAAGACTATTCCAGACAGAGATGAATGATACAAAATTTCTGACAGAGTGAATTAGCGCGAGATCACAGTTGAAAGAATTAATATATCAGTTGCCTCAGTCTCCGTCGGGCATTTGGTATTTTCTTTCAACTAAGACGAGATGAGGTTTCTACGTCATAAGAGGGTCCGTTTTCAGAGGGTACTATTATTTATGCCCAAAAATAAAATATTCCCAGTCAATTTTCCGATCGAATTATGTCGTCAATCATTATTTATGTATAAAAGGATCATTATAAACATGGTTTGAGTTGAAAGTTCTACTAAGGTGTACACGCCCAAAGGCTTTTGATACAGTGGACCACACAATACTTCTGGATAACTTGGAATCCATGGGACTCAGAGGCATTGTGAGAATCATTTTAGCTTCATATCTTGAATATAGGACTATCAGTACCAAATCTGCTAATTCTGAGTCTCATAAACTGTCAATGAATAAGGGTGTTCTACAAGTATCTGTGTAACGTGAAAATTGCCTTTCCTCGAATTTTCAGTTCCATCTTTATAATTCACATATAAAAGCACTGAGACACTATCTATAATTCTTTATTCAGATTCCATATTTACATGACACTTGATACTGTTGATGAGCCCTCAGTTGATCAGACTTCTACGACCTGAAAATAGAATTAAACATAACTATTTGATCGAATAATAATTGAAAAGTACTCACTTGTTTTGAGATTGTCTTCTCCTTCAGGGTCTGTTTTTTGTTGCTTCTGAGATTACTTCCAAGATGTTGATTCCGATGGATGTTTGGCCTCAGTACATTATTTAGCTCGTATATTTCCAATTTCCTGCCATAGGTGATGGTCCTGATGATAAAATATGTAATTTCAATGATTATTTCTTTGTTTATTATTGTTTAGCTGTCATTGAAATATTGGAATTTCATTTGACATTTTTTGACAAGTGATTGTCAAATTGTCAAATGGGAAGGACAAGGTTACCTGCGCGGAACAGTTGGAAGTTGAGGACGGTACATCTGGCAGCCGGAATGCTCTTGATACTTTCTGAAATACTGGCGCGAGTCACCCATTGGAAGGCGAAGAGTCTTGTTCTGTGTATTTTTCAAGGTCGTCACATCTGTTCATCCTGGTCCTATGGAATCCCATTCGGAAGAAGTCGGGATGCTCGTTTATTTAGGAGCTGTCATCACATTTTGGGCGAATCACAAACCAGCATTTTAGTCACATGCATGATGCGTAATATCAACCTGTATTTCCTCTAGTGCGCAAAGTTTACATATGAGTTGTATCCTGTTTTTTCATCATTTGTTTTGGGCTGAAATGTTCTGAAAAGGCGCAGGAGGCTATCCCTCCCAAAAATATTGAGAAGCCACTTCGACCTTCTATCTTGGCAAGATGGGCAACGTCGAGCATTTCTTGATGTACTTTTCTGAAATTGAGGCCTTTCCTTTTTGGGGTAAGTTTTTGAACTTTTCAAAATCAAGGGTTTCATTCCTTCTTTGATATTGGTTGGTTATTTATTTATTCGGATCTATTCCTATAGATCTGTGGGCCTCTTTGATACCCCTCGTCGACCACGCGGCCATTTCTTCCTTTCAACGGAGAGATCCCATCTCCGGAACAGGAGACGTTTTGAAGCCTCTTCAAGCGTCGCAGGCACACGATACCCCACCGGCACGTCGCTCATTCCTGGCCCTTTCGGCCCCGCAGGCATCGCAGACTTCTTGGACTCCGCAGGCTCTACTGCATCTTCAAGCTGCACAGGCTCATCGGTCTAGGCTGCATCTTCAGGCTTTGCTGCATCTCCAGGCTTTGCTGTCTCATCACGCTTCCCAGCTACATCACTTAGGAGCTGCATCTTGTCGGCTGCGACAAGAGATTCACCTGCTGGACCCCATCAGGAGGGGGCTCACCTACGTGACTGCTGCTCTGAGTACATCCCCACTGAGAATTGGAGAGCCTGGCGAATAGGGCTGAGATCACCACCAAAATGTCACTCCGCTAGTGATCTCCACTAGCAATCTCCACTAGACACATGGTCTGAGTAAGAAAGCGACCCCAACTAATTACAGTTACTCACTGATTATGGTATTTTTTGATTCTATCAATGGATGTCTTAATATCTAGTATTTTTCATCATTATTTTTCATAAAATTTAATATTTTGGTAAATGCATATTTTACATACTTCACATACTATGTGCATCCGGTTTATAGTACTATAAAGGGGATTTCTAGGGTTCATAAATGCAAAGGTTATAAAAAGTGATTTTTACTGAGAATATTTTTGAATACTACCATATTTAGACCTCTGTGACTTTGTAGGTATTGACAAATTCAACATATATCATCATTAAACAATATTTGAGTTCACACAGTGTTTTTTCCTTTGATTTCTCTTTCAGGAAGTTGACTGAATTTTAATATAACTTTCTTGGTTTTGTTTATATCAAATCAAGTGGCGCCCTTGGTCACTCAATAGTTTGAATTCACTACCATGGCTCGCCAGACGAACAGCTGCCGTGCCTTGTAAGCACTCATGAATATTTTTTCTTTACATTAAATTACAACAATATTTTTCAAAATTTCATAAGTTTGCTACATCTGTTTTAGGACCAATACTGTATCTGCTTTTTATTCAAAGTTGGTTCTGAGGAATTCCCATTTGCATATTCAGAGAATATTCCACAGATATTCTAGAATATTCCAATATTCCGAAAGGAATATGATAGGGAGATTCACGGAATATCTGCAGGTGCTATCTGGGAACTTCACAATACGAAATGTCTAACCCTTGAAATTACCTAGATCCTCGTCTACTCTGAGAAGCACATCACATACAGCCTGCTCGATTCCCGAATCCAGAAGATCCAATCTGGACAAGGCCTCTTTCGCTAGTGATTCCTGTACCGGCAATTTCGTGACAATTCCCGCATAGTAGTCGCTAACAAGCGTGAGCGTATCGACGTGCCTGTTAATTGCGAGAATTCACATCCACCCGAATAGCTCCTTCATATTAATAATGATAATAATAATAATAATGCCGTGATAAGGCACCCATTTAAGCTGGTGGAATGCAGAAGGTCGTCATACTTGGATCATTACGTCTACTCAGGGCACATGAAACCAATGAATAATTGCATGGAACATGGTCCCTTGGTCCCAGCAATGAACTCAATATACAGGGTGACATAAAAAAAAGTACATTGCATAGTGCCACACAATAGAGGATACTAAAATAAGAAAAAAAGTTCCTATGAACATGGGTCCGCAAGGCTTTCGGTTAAAAGATACCGTGAAAAAAAATTGACGCCTCCCAGGGATTGAACCCCAGTCACCACCGTGGAAGTCAGATACACAGACCACTAAGCTTTCACCCTTTTACTCGTAGTAGTTGTAGTTTATCAATATAAAGAATGAAAGAATATCATGTGTTGTGGGTGACGTCACTTGACCTCGATGTTTGCGCAATGAACTCAATATAAACACCGCTAGACGCTTTTGTGAATTAATACGAGAACCTAAAGTTCCCAAACCTCGTCAGATTGGTCACAGTAAATTACGTGATACATTAAAGACGCATGCGCATTCACTCGTAGAAAAACTGTATTAACGAGACCCTCGGGGTCTCGAGAGGAAGGAAAAGCATCCCAAAAGCATACCAAATGACTACACAAATGATCACAGTGGGCCAGTGGGCTGACGCCATGCTATTAGTGGACTAGAATAAAACGCCTTGGACCAAACTCAGCCTTCACAGTTTGATTGCGAAAAATAATCATCAGAAAACACTAATCTCAACATCATATAACGTGATGGGAATGGTTCGAAAGATTTAGGCACTTCTGTGGGAATAAGTGGTTACTGGAATAGATTCAGCTCGACTCTGCGTGGCGTTGGAGGCAGCAGAGTCGTGACTGGCATGAATATGAATTCAATTTTTCTTATCATAATAATAATATCTCCGATAGGTGGCTAATTGGGTAACCAATAAAGCACTTTTTTATTATTATTAATAATAATAACTACAATCTCCTCAAACAAATTATAATGAATGGCGATTCAAATAAGCATCGATGCTATGTGGTTCGATATCATACAGTAATTGTTCCAGAAGTGTGGCTTCGTTACTGAGTTCAAGTCTATATAAGACTTCTTTCAGAGAAAGAGTTGAATTGTTATTGTATTTGATAGACATAGAAAAAAGTACCTTATGTCACACAAAAGAGGACTCTAAAATAATAAAAAAAGTTGCCATGAACACGGATAGTCAAAAGGCTTTCGGTTGAAAGATACGGGGTGTTGAATTTTAATTTTTTGGGGTTTTTTTTAATATCTTCAACCAGACGCAAAAAATTGATAAAATGTGGTAAACAGGGGGTTTTTAATGTAATTGTTGAAGTATTCATCATTGTTTTTACTAATAAATTTGAAAAAATTGAATCCAACACCCCGTATCTTTTAACCGAAGGCCTTGCGGACCCGTGTTCATGGGAACTTTTTTTCTTATTTTAGTGTCCTCTATCATGTGGCACTATGCAAGCTACTTTTTTTCTGTTTCACCCTGTTAATGGACCGATTCGGGTGGATAAGAATTCTTGCCTGTCTATTTCCAGCTGAAAGCCGTTTATGTAGTTGTTGATGAGCTCTACCAGTTGCCTCGGAGCCCACTTTTTGTTGACGATGAGGCATCGGGCTTGTTCAGCCTCCATCATCTGCTGGTCGCACACTGCGATCAGTTTCTCTCTCAGCTCGTTCACCCTGTAGACAAAAATGCAGCAAAAACTTCAGTCGCATCAAAGGATTGAGATACAGATTAACAGAATACAGAATCAGTGACGGATTTCCCATGACACAGTAGACGCGGGCCAAGAGCTGCCACCCAGCGAGCACAAACATCCCTGGGATCTTTTGAAAATGTTAGCATGAAGTTGTTATTTTTGAGACGTAATATGCACTGACCAAAGAGGTCTTTGAAGGATATTGAAGTATTGTTTTTGTTCTTCTGTGGCATTTCTTTGTTTGCCTACTGAGAGGTATCCCTGGGATGTTTTGGGATGTTTTAGAAATGTAGGCATGAGGATGTTTTTCTGAGGCATAGTATGCACTTCCCAGAGAGGTCTTAGAAGGATATTGAAAGTATTGTTTTTGTTCTTTTGTGCCCTTTCTCTGTTTGCCCCACCACAACGTCTCATGCTTACGTCACAATACGATGAATTCTGATTTGGTTTCGATTTTGTTCTTCTTGTTCGCAATTGGCATTCGCGTTTGCAGCGTGTCACGCTTACATCACGCTGCTAACGAACAAAAAGGAATTTGGTGAAGTTTATTGTGTTAGAAGACTTATTTAGTTTGTAATAATGACCATCAGATGCAAGATGTGTTGTTCGGTGCCTCAGTGTAATCAATATATATAAAAGTACGAATTTATCAATACACAGCTTCTCCGCAGTTGCAAAATTATGCATTGTGGAGAACATTTCAAAAATTGGGAAACCTATTTCCAATTATATGTCTGTGTGTAGTAAGCACTACTCAGAAACCGATTAAGAAGGTAATTTTATGTCAAGAAAATATTTTTATGTTCAATCTATTTTTAATGCATTTTTTCATTCAAGGGAAATGGAATCCTAATGCAAAAGTTCATTTTGACAAAAGGCTTCAGAAAAGTACCTCGAAAATGTTTTTTTTACAGCGATTTAATGTGCGCAAGACGCGTCGAAAATGTTTTTTTGTGTCCATGAAAAGGCTTTAAAAAGAACTAGGGAGAAGGTAGTTTTGTGACATATCAAGGACATCTCGATAATTGCCGCCTGCGGCGGACATTGGCTGTTCTATAATAATTCTATTCATGTGTGAACAGAACATCGCAGTGGAGGTTCAATGTCTCGAAATCTCGTACTTTTAACATCTCTGAGATGTTTTTGTGCTCGCTGGGCAGGCGCCCTTCGTGACGAAAAATTCCCTGATCAAAACAAGAAATAACTTGAAGTACCAAAATTTATATAAAAAATATTTAAGTCTCTACTGTCGACACGCCGAGTCCAGTTTTACTGGTGATTCGAAATATTCATAGTGTCACAACTTTTTTGTAATAATTGATGCAGAAGAAACGATGGGATGCTTATAAATTATTTATAATAAATATAACTGCAGTATGTTCGTCAGAAGTCGAAGAGGAGGCCAAAGCATAAAAATAATTTTTCAGATTGATGCATAATAATATGTCTTCATTTTCGTGCTTACTGCTGTATAAAAAAATGGAGACCTGTAGCTGGATAAAAAAAACGAAAACCAACTTGAAAGTTTTATTCAAATGTGCGATTACTTTTATCCGAATTTCTGAATTATTTTCGTTAAAAGTTGGCAAGGGCGGCCACGACTAGAAATCCGCCACTGCACAGAATGTTTGCCCAATCGTTACACATTGGCAACATAGCAAGTGAGGCTGATTCGGCCAGTGTTGAAAGGTTGAATTGTTAAGAAGTAATACATGTCATAAAATTATTTCTGGGAAAAGGTGCATCCATGTGGATGAAATTCGTAGAAGATAAAATCACAAATGTGACATGTTTCAGGAGATTACTCAGAAATTGATCATTTTGCTGAATTACTCGTTGTTGTTGTTCTTTATTACCCCAAGAAACATATTTGTAATAATTAACAAGTTACCTATGTCAATATAACATAATAATTGAAATAAAATCATTCCAAGTATTCAAATCAGAATAAATTGCTCCGTTTATGAGTATATATTTTTTCATATTGACTTTGAATCTTGTTTCATCATCAATATGTTTCAAATCACAAGGTAATGAATTATATAAAATGATTCCGTTGTAGAATACTGATTGTTTGCCAATAATGGAGTTATATGGGTTTGCTATTAATGAATTCAACTGTCTCGTTTCATGAGTATGAATTTTATTTACTTCAGTAAATAAGTTCAAGTTGGATTTTTTTTTTCTCACACAATTAATAAAAGAACAAATTTTCATTCTATATAACGATGATAAATTCAACAGATTTTTTGGTTTGTAAAGATTAATAGTTGGCTGGGAAATTACTTGTGCTTCCCCAAATTGATATTAAATATTGTAATTTTGAGTACTTTACGAAAGCACTTATTATACAGTGCTTTCAGTGGATTATTTACCGACAATGAAGTTCTGCTTTGAATTCAACATCACTACGAATATCAGCATCGAATTCATTATAAAGTTGTTGAAACTTTCTCAGATACATCTGTTTGTCATCGGGCGAGTTGATGTATTTATTCATGTGAATCTTGACGTAGTTGACCTTCGGCATTATGGCATTCAGGATGATCCTCTTCATGAACATGACCTAATAATAATGATAATAATAAATAGTTTATTGTTTTACCAGCACGAAATGATAGTGATTTCCCACGAGAATGAAGTTTGCAATCATTCGAGTGGGAGATTAGCTTCCGTGCGAGTTAAACACTATAATTTTTCTACGGCTGTATAGTTTATGCAGTCAGTTGGGAAACACGTCACCGCAAGCCGTCGGTCCCTTAGAAAGTTCAAAGAGTGCGGCAGCGCGGCCCGACATTCGTTTGATGATCTGTTCAACTGACATTATTGTATAAAACAGCGACATTTTTTATTCCCTCGTCTTGTAGCCATCTGATTTCCTCTCAAGTAATGCTCATCTATTACTGTCATTGCTTGAAACTTGACATTCCATGGACGATGAGATTTTCTTGAAATAATAAAACACAATGTGATATCAGATCATATACGTGTATCAGATACGAACATAAAATTGATGACATACAAAGTACACCTCATTGATGTAGGTATCGAATACAGTAAAAAGGTCAATTTTGTGATATAGCCGTAGAAAAACTTTATTTTCCTTCATGACTAATACATTATTTGTACAGGATTAGTCACCACATTGGTAGGTATAAAGTATTGAAAAGAAAAACAAAAAATTTACACAAATGTATAATGCATAGGTACTTACTCACATAATATAAAAATTATGTGTAATAAATCAAACGTACAGGGTCATTCCCTATATTTAATCAGCTTCTACAGGGCTCACCATTGAAGATTGAAAAAAATTTCAAATACAAATAAAAGTTGTAGGGTTTGTTCTAAACCTGTAGAAAAATGTGCGAGGTGAAACAAATGAATATCGCTGATATATATATATATAGTTGGTACCGATTTCTGGGTACCAACTTCTGTACAAGATCTGCCTTTTCTGATTTCAGCAATATATTGCTTGCTGATATTCGTTTCAGCCGTTTTCATTTTTTATTTATACAATTTGGTTTTACCAAATCGCAGGTGCCATGAACACATAATAAAGAATATGACAGAAAGTTTGACTGATGATAACATGTATATTGCGATTTGGTAAAATATATAGCAGTTTACCTAAAAAGTTCGGAAAGTGTGCGTCGTCCGCATCTGCAATCGCGTGCGGAAATATTACTATATATACGCGCAGGTGATAAGTACACATTTTTTTTTACTAGCGTGCAGAAAAAAACAAATTCATTTTTTCCGCACTCATTCGAGTGTTGATTGTTTTTCCGCCCTTGTACAGAAAAGTTACTCTTTCAACACTAAAAAGTATAATATGTTCGACCTGCGACCTCGAATATTTCTTAAACGGCTGAACCGAATATCTACAACCTAAATATTTTTGAAATCCGAAAGGAAAGATCTTGAATTCCATTGAAAATAACAAAGTTATATCAGTGATATTCATTGGTTTCACCTCGTACAATTTTTCTATCTCCAATGATAACACCTGTAAAATCTGTTCAAATATACGGAATGACCCTGTACTATAGCAGCACTATCAGGAGATCGGTATATATGTTAAATGTCAAGTTTGCGGAATATGAACATTTTCTTTGTACAGGATGATTCACCATAAATGTCCCCCCCTCTAGCTCAGTTATTTTCGAACCGATTTCAAAATTTGAAATATCATCTCAAATGATTTTCGATAAAGTTTTTTTCTGCTACATCAGAAGATACAGGGTGCTCGGAAAAAATGATCTACAGGGTACTATTTAATTTTTTTAAATGAAACACCCTATTTTTCATTGTATTTTTAGATTCTCCCTGAAGAGCTGATTTGATCGATGCATCAAACTCGGGGTCAAGCGGGAATGATTACAGAGATATAGGGTGTTTTTTCAACTTTGGGATTTTTTTTAAACGAAACTATTCATTATCGGTCAAAACGGCTTCCATGTCCGTGCCACAACTTTTTTTATTTATTTACTATCTACTGACATTTAATAACGGGAACAGATACAGGGTGATCAGAATTCTGAATCTTGAACCACCCTGTAAATGTTTCAATTAAATGTCACTAGATGGTAAATCACAAGTTGAGATAGGGACATGAAAACCTTTTTGACCAATGATGAATAGTTCCGACAGAAAAAAATCCTAAAGTTTGAAAAATGTCGATTCTGAAAACCCCATATCTCTGCAATGTAAACATTCCCGCTAGACCCTAAGTGTGATACATTGATGAAATCAGCTCTTCAGGAAGAATCTAAAAATTCAATTAAATACAGGGTGTTCCATTTGAAAAAATCAAGTAGTACTCTGTGTAGATCGTTTGTTCCGAGCACCCTGTATTTTCTGATGCAACGAAAAAAAAAAATTCTGAAAAATCATATCAGATTATTTTTCAAATTTTTAGATCGGTTCAAAAATAAGTAACCTAGAGGGGGGGACATTTATGGTGAAGAGGTTATTGTTATTGTACTTACCTGACTGAAATCTTCTATGTAAACCTCTTCGGCATTCTCCCATAGGGTTGCCAGCGCTACTTGCAGCTCGTCTGCCAACTTCAAGTCGGTGTATTTCCAACCTGGAGATCCTGGTTCGATGGATACTTTTTCCAATTCTTCTTCTTCTTCGACTTCTTCAACGATGACTTCCGGGATTTGGGTGAATTTATCCGAGTGTACGATCAAAACGTGACCGCTCTGGCCAGTCTTCTCTTTCTTTCCTTTCTTCTTATCTGCAACAAATTAGGAATAAATAATATTGTACAGGGTGTCCAAATTCTGATGTTCGTTATGATGACTATATAGGAAATACAAAACATGGTGGTGACACTCTCGATCTCTATTATAGACAATTCCATTGGCAAAACAAAAATTTGGTATCGCCGTTCGTTTTCGAGTTATACAGGGCGTTAGTGAAGAACTGCTACAGGGGGTGATTCCTTGTGATATTGTAGGAAATAAAGTTCATATAAACATGTGTCCTAAGTTGCTTCGTTTTTTATGTACAGGATGTTGAAGTTGGAAGTATTAATTCTTTTTATTTATAACTACCCTGTATATAAGCTTCCATGGTGCCAAAATTCAGTATGGTTGGAGACTGAAAAAGTCCCAAAATTTCAAAATGATTCTTATTCTGAGGTTATTGAATGTTTCGCCAGAGCACCCACATTAAAATTTAGAGTCAAATCGAATTTTTATTGTTTCTTTAGATACTAATAAGCAAGATCCGAAAAAAAAAAGAAAGGATAAGAAAGTTGATATTTCAATTGTTCAATCAAATGAAAATATGGAAGTCAGAAAAACAAGTGGCATACAATGATATCAACCCTAACAACACGAGTACGTCCCTAGGAACCTCCCAGGGACATCCGCTTTCCACAAAAAGAGGCATACTAGGGATGATGTCCTTCTGGTACGTCCCTGGGATGTACCAAGTACGAAGAAAGGATATCCCTAGGACGTCCCAAGGATATCCCAGGGACATCCCTTCGACAAAAGAAAAAAATGTAGGTCGAGTACGGATTGAACCCGGGACCTTTGTCTTATCAGGCACGCATCTTACTCCATTGGCTATTGAGCCTCCTGAAGATTTATGTACTAAACAGATTTATAAACAGGACTTAACCACAGAAACCTGAATATAAATACAACTTTGTTAGGATTTGGGTATAATTATTATATCATTTTTGGGTGTTTAAAAATGAGGGCATTATGCATGTACGATTTCTGTTTGCGAAAAATGGTAATTTCTCAAGAAGTTCTGAAACTTTATTCTTTATTTTCATTACGATTATTTTCCGGAAGAAAAACAAACATTTTCAAAAAAATGCAACTTAATACTTTGATGAAATTCAATGACTTTGATATGTGAATGGATATCAGATATTCCAGGGACACGAATAGGATAACCTAGGGATGTACCGGGCGGGATGTCCACTGGACAACCACTGCGCGACATCCTCTGGATGCCCCAATCATGTCTTTTTGTACCGCGGGACAAAAAAGGGACGTACCTATCAGGACATCCCTGTGTTGTTAGGAAACCGTAAATATCGATAAATCAACCCACTGTGACGCCACTGAAAATATTATTTTGAATTTAATCACATTATAAAAGAAGCTCCATGTTACAATCAACGAAACCACCAAGTTTCATTGAAATTGGTGAAACGACATTTGAGTATAATGATTAAAAAAACGATTTTTCATGGAAATATTGATACCCTCTGTATCTCGAAAACAAAGCAAGTTAGGACACATGTTTATATAAACTTTATTCTCTGGAACTATCACAAAAAGAATCACCCCCTGAAGTTTTTCGCAGTTATTCACTAACAACCTGTATACAAAAGTTCTAAATTACGTTGGACACATTTCTGTTTCAAAAAATTTTTGAAATAACAGGCTTTGAATTCGCTGTTAAAAATAGGTAACACGCCGCGCCACTAGTTGGCAACATTTGAACAATTCTGACTGAGCGGTTTGTTTTGATAGATGGATGTGACCAACATCTCAGATGTGACCATCAATAAACACAAACAAAAAACAAATGTGAACCAATGAAAACAAACTAAACAGACCGCTTTGACAGCTTTCAAAACCTTCGATAGGTGGCGTACGCTTATTTTCTATCGCGACGACCCCTTAGGAATATCGAGGGAATATCCAGCAAAATTTGGGGAATTTTGACATTGACAGTGATGAGAAAATTATGTCTATGGTTTTTGAAGAATGAGGCAAACATATTAAATTAGGAGCAAAATTGGCCAAGTTCAAGAATACTATATATTGAATAGTCTCCAAACAATATACTTTTCAACTGCAAACAGTGCAAACCACATCTTATCAACTCTGAAGCCTAATTATTTCTACGACAGCTTGTCTGAAATTTTGCCACCTCCCAGATTTGCTTTTGGTTTAACGTTAACGAAAAAAACAGTAGGTTTTATGCCTAAAACAGGAGAAAAGTAGAACAGGGACAAAAACAGTAGATCTGCTGTTAAAACAGTAAGTCTGGCAACGCAACACACTGGTCTCCACCGCTACGTTCTACGTTCTGTGATTCCGGGGATTCCCAGTTGTTTCACGGGCTCACGGCACCACAAACACACAAACCTTTCGTGCTTTCACGTGCTTTCACGCATCAATTTTCAGTTTCCAGCTCAGTGTCAGTGTTTAAGTGTTGAAGATCGTTAGAGACAGGTTATAAACATTTTTGTCATTATAGGCTTTATTACTGTGACAGTACTCAAAGTACGGTGATATATAGTGAAAAAAGGACAAAAGGTAAGATGTGAATTGAAAATTTATTCGGCCTTCTGCCTTCTGCACGTCTATCTGTGGTAGGCAATAATTTGTTGCTTGTTTAGGGAATGAAGAAAATGAATAAAATATCAACAGAGTAAACTCCCAAGGAGTTTCATAAACTTTGTGTGTAGTCAAAGAGTGAATGTAAGTATGGTAGGAAAATTCTTTGAAGCCATTAAAAATACAATTTAATTTTATACCTTTCGGACCGCGTATTCAAATCCAGAACCGTATTAAGCAGGTGATATTCTTTAAGTTTATAGAGCTCACCCGATTGTGGATTTATTTCCAATAGATCACATGGTTGGAGACTGAGAAAGCCCCAAAATTTCAAAATGATTCTAATCAATCTTGACTCTTGAGTCAAATTGAATTTTTATTGTTGCCTCAAAAACTGAGCTAGATACAAAAATCACACAGAGGATAAAAAAGTTTTCATTGCAATAGTTCAATCTAATAAACATATGAAAGTAAAAAAACCGGTGGCGTACAATGACATTCACCATAAATATCGATAAATTTACCCACTGTGACGCCACTGAAAATATTATTCCGAATCTAATCCCACCAAGATAAGCTGCATAAAAACCACAACGTTTTATTGAACTTGATGAAAGGACTATTGAGCAATGAATAAAGAAAACACTGTCTGTAGGTAAATCGAGGAAAATGAAAATATCAATATCATTTCAATATACGTGTAGTTGATATAGACAGAACATGGTATTCACTACTGAAATCTGAACATGAAAATGGTATATTCAAGATTAATTAACGAAAACATCCTGTAACTCATTTGATTGCCAACGTCACCAATTGTCAATGAAAACTGAAAAGCTTCAAGACATATACGACTTCGCTATTGAAATAATCTTTTCTTGTTGAAAACGGGAGCAGAATCGGTCCCGAAACGTCCAAAGATAAGTGAAAATTTGATATTTTTTCTATATACCTATATTTCTCTTCTCCAAACATTTTTCAATACAAATTGTCACTGACAAGCTAGTGAATTTTTCTTTTAGGCTCTCTGATAGAAAAATTCTTTAAACGCAGTGACATTTTGGGGCAAATCATCTGATTTGTCCTTACTATAAACGTATATTGAAATAATATTCATTCAAAAAATTTGGAATAATGAATAAAGAAAACATTTTTCATGGTAAATATTAATACCCTGTATCTCGAAAACGAAGCACATGTTCACAAGGAATCAACCCTTGAATTTTTTGGGTGTTATTTAGATACACCCTTCTCACCCTAGGTATAGAGAAGGTGTTTGAAAGACCAATTATCCATGAATACTCTACTCTTTTTTTTATTATGGAAATAACAACTAATTAAGTAAAATATGGTTGAACATTTGCTAGTGCGATAATTTATTTGACGTAATACGAATGGTATTGTCAGATCGATAATTAAATTGGTGACATTTTCAGACTTCACGTTTCTCGAGTCGTTGATGTTTTTTAGTTGATGTTTGCCGTGGTAAATTCTATTGAAAAACGCACGTTATTGAAAGTTGGATTTGAACACGCTGAGCTGCTTTTTATAAACATAATAAGGTACCAATGAAAAAAAAAATATTATTTATTCATGATTTGAATACTTGAAACGGGTGTTTTTGTCTCTTGTTGAAACAATAATTTATTATTAGTAAAATCGATCAATCAATCTAAATATGGTTTTTGACCAAATGTTCGAAATGTTTCAAGATAAATCGAAGAAATTTCATGCAAGAACTTAACTTCTCACATTTCACGAGACCAAATGATAGTTATTTATTAACAAGGGAAAAAAGTAGTAGATTTTAGCTCCAGGTTGTGTTGACAAAAAACCGTGAGCTAAAATCTAATATTTTTCCCGTGTATAATACACTATTTTTTTCTGTGACAGAAGAGAGGACGAATCAATATTGAGAAGATAAAACATTATTTTGAAATCTGAAAATTATCGACGTGAAATTTAAGTTTTTAACAGTAGGTACACCTGCGTTGTAGGCATCTTTATCATTCTTTTGAAGTGATCCAATATCTGATGTCACTTCTGTCAGTCTAATTTTGTGATTTGATTTGAAAAAATTGCGAATTCAGTTGTTGTTTAGTAATGTACGTGTAACCGCGAAGTCGCGAATGGAAGGTAAAAGGACTTGCAGTTCTTTCTCGGAGACGGTATTATTGACTCATTTTTCGGTTCGGAACTATGGCACAACAAAAGCCATCAACAGTGTATATATATTTGATATATATCCGGGAAAAAAGTACTCACTTCTTTCCCACGGGGAAAAAGTAATTTATGAAAAGTGACATTTCATAACCTGCCAACAGAGATGAAATGCCAAACTTTTTTCCCGTCACAGAAAAAAAATATTCCTTCTAGCGTGCGGAAAAGTCCAGGGTCAAAAATCTACCACTTCTATCCCTTGTATAGTAATTTATGAAGTGACATTTCATAACCTGCCAACAGAGATGAAATGCCAAACTTTTTTCCCGTCACAGAAAAAAAATATTCCTTCTAGCGTGCGGTAAAGTCCAGGGTCTAAAATCTACCACTTCTATCCCTTGTATAATATAACATACTGTTGAAGTAAAATCTTTGGAAATTAAATTTTAGCGATTACATTAGGTCAAGGATAATCAATCAGAATTGACAGCGATTCGAGCTGGGATAGGATAATGCGTCGAAATTCACATACAGAATTTCGTCAGTGTACTTAGTGGGAGGGTGATGTGGGATGTAGTGATTGATGAATTGTTTTTTTATTGTATTAATCAACCTCCTTGGAGGTTTCCAAAAATTGCCGTAGCGCACGGTATTTCACGTGCACGTGGCGGGGTATTGGTTAAAGTTTTCAACTAGCAATAATCGCACCTCGGATAAACCTCATCGGTTACGATACTGCCACTGCGCAAAGCTGACGATATTTTATGCTAGCGGTGTATTTGTAACGTGATTTCGTCGTTCAGAGAAATGTGTCGTATGTGCTGCCCTCTCTATTAATTCGATTCAAGCTGGAGTAGGTGAGATCGTTACTAATTCTTGTTCAGTATCGTACTGGCCCACCTGGCAACTAAATGAATGTGAATATATACTATGCTATGATCAGTGAATTTATGAATATGTTGCAACTGTTCCTGGTTTTGAACACTCATAAACTACAAAATATCACATGGAGCCTAAATACGTATTTCGAAAACTCATAGTTGCCGCATCCTCAGTAGAATTGAAGAGGATATTTAGATTAGTTGACTCCATAATATCTTTCGATATATTATTCAGAAATTAATCTCGCTGGTAACTACCACGACAATTATCCATCGACAAATATTTTATCTCTATAGATAAAAATTATAAAATATAACAAAAATGCAATTGAACGTATTATTCTACCTATAATATTGATTTGCTCTTACCTGCTATTATATCTGTCTTCGTTTCCTCTTCGAAAAGTTTACTCTTAGATTTCACTACCTTTTCTTTCCTTATTGTCTCCTTCTTATCTCCTTTCTTCACCGACTTAACACTTTTAGTTCTGAATATCGTTTCCAAATCAATTTTTTCTGCGTCGATATACCTGATGCTGTCCCCGAAGAGTTCGATTGACGTTTTGGGGGGAATGGAATAATCTCCAATAATCAATTTCCCCAAAGATTTGACAGTGTAATAATCGAAGTGTTCATAATAAAGAGAGTAATTACAACCCAGATCGGAGTAAAATATTTCTAAGGGTGATGTGCGATTCTCTAGATCTTCAACTAGAATGTTTGGTACTGTCGTGTTGTCGTTTCTTTCGTTTGTAGCTTAAAGGGCACGTGAATTTATGATTTATTATATAAATTATAGTATTGTATCAAGTTAGTAACCTTACTTTGAATTATCTGTATGAAGGCAGTAAGAGCTGAATCGTAAGAAAGTCCATCTTCAATTGCTTTCTGTGGATTTTTCAAAATTTTAGAACTTCTGTATTGCTCGTAAATATCCATATTTCTATCGTCGCAGTTAACTTCAAGTTCGGCCAGCTCACCTATGCTTCTAGACACTTTGAGAGTATCAAAATATCCAGGAATTGTAATACCAGTGAGTGATTCTTCTAAGAGTATTGCTTGTTCTAAAGTTTCGGGGTAGTTCACCAATACCCAACCTTGAACATAAAAGTTATATATCTTGAAAAAACATTTTCTGCAAATAATTCATAATTTTTGGTATTCTTAGAATCATGCACCTACCTTTCAGATGATGTTTAGGTCTAAGGAACTCCAAGAACATATGTACAAGCAAATGATCTGTAAGAGAACTACCACGAGATAGTTCTTCTTCTGCTATTCTTCCTAGCTCTGCTTTTGGCGAAAGAGGTATTTCTTCGCATGGATACACCTTGGGCGTTTGTACTGTCTTATCTGCCAGAGCAAATTTGTCTTCCACATCTTCTACCGTATTGATATTTCTATCGGTTTTGGATTTTGATTTCGCTCCTTTCTTGAGTGACTTCTTTGATTGACTCCCTTTGGTCTTGTCTTTCTGAATTTGTTCATCTCCATCTTCTTCCGCAAGTTTACTTTCTTCTTTAAAAGCATTTATGCAAAAATTCACTGCATCCTGCATTTCGAAAACACGGATATCTTTATGATCCAACATTTTCTGGAGTAGAGGCAAGCAGGTAGTGTCTGTCAGTCCATTTACACAAACAGAAATATTTACTTTTGGCAAATTTGGAGGCGGAGGCGGTTCCGGCAAAGGATATTTAATTTTCAGCAAATTGTTTACTATATGTCCTAAAATATTCATCCCATAATTCATATCGCATATGTAGTTGTCATCTATTTCGACATTTTCGAGTTCCCAAGGCCATTCGAAGTTTATATAGCTTTCGAAATCTGCTTTGTCCAGCTTATCTTGCCTGTCTATTTCATTATGAACTATTGTTTCCAAATCTTCTGGGATTTCGTCAGGTGGTTTGAGTATAATTTCTATCGGGGATACCGCATCTTCGAAATTTTCATTTGTTAAAAAACATTTCTTCCAGTTATCTATCACTCTTCTCGACGGGGTTTCCCCGAAAAAATTTCTATATTCAGATTCTTTGAAAGCTATGGTACAAATATTCCTGATTATCTCTGAACACATTTTATAGCATCTCTCTGATTTCAAGCGTAATTTTTCTTCATAGATTTTCCTGTGCAATTTTAGTGTTTTCTCTTTATTCAGGTAATACTGGAATTCTTTATCGTTCAATTCCTTGTCTTCTTCAAGAAATTGTTCGACAAATTGTGCTTCCTTTTCTTTCGAAATAGCATCAGATATAGCTAGCTTATTTTGTATCATAACATCCTTCTGAAATTTAACTTCGCCCAGCTTCCTCAGCATTTGTTTTTCATACAAAGACTGTTTGAGCATCTTTTCGGTTATATCTTTATCACACTCGTCATTTTCTTCATCGCGTATCTTTTGCCAAAACGCATTCAGCACTTCTTTGTGCAGCTGCTTCTGGAATATGGCATTTTCAGCCTTCTTCTTGACTTGTTCTTTGTATTTCTTGAGTATTGTTTTCGCTTCTTTGGGATCTGCTTGGAACTGTTTCAGCATCAGCATGTTTGCTTGCTTTTGTTCCTCAATTAACTCTTCGTAGGACAAGTCAATTGATTTCACCGATTCGTTAATGAGTTCTACGTTAGCTTCCTCCGTTCTGTGAAAATCTGGCGAGGCAGGAGAGTAGTAACTAAATGAGGAACTTGACAACCGTTTGTCTCGCGTTCTCACCATGCCCATATACTCCTCTCTAGCTGATTTGCATTTATTGACCAACATTTCTAGGCGATCTTGGTGCCAATGAATTACATCGTAAGATTCAATCAAAGGTGATTTATATTTACCCTCGACCTGAGGGGGTCGTACCGTCTCCTCGGCCTCACTTTTCACTGCGAATCTTGTGTTTTGGGGGTGCAATTTTTCATTCAGCCGTTGTTGCGTTATGAATGTCAGATTATCTTTCTCGTGAAGTTCTAAAAATAGTTTATAGAATATATTGATGGAACCTAAGCCGGTGTAATCAACGATTTCATCTACTTCGTCGGTATCGAGGGATATTCCGAGAGTTTTGAGCCATTTGGCTATGAATTTGAAATTTTGCATGCAGTTCGCTCGCACCTCTGTTTTATGTATCATTCCAAGCTGTTCTTCGTTGATGACCTCGTAAGACTTCAATATTCGCGAGAGTAGATGCCCGTCTCTTGTATTACGACAAAATGTTTCAGCATTCCAATTCATTATTATTCCAAGTCTTGATTGAATCCATTGGTTTATTATATTGGTCATGGTTCTTCAGACCTTGAACCCTTGCTCTTAGCCTTACAGCTGGATAGAAGTTTATATTATTATATGTTGCAATATGAACTTCGAGACATCGTTTCTTATTAGGTTTTTGAGAATAAATTCAGCTGACACTTGACATATGTACACGACTGATGAAAAGCATAGTTCATGAGTTCACCATACCTCTTGCCTACTAACTAGATTTTCCATTTAGATCGACAATGGTTCACCTTATTATTCACCATGATTCACCTAACGGCATTGCGTCAGAAAATTCAGCAGTAAGAAAAACTCGAGGAAAAACTAGTTATGGCCCAGGAGCCAGCAACCGGTTTGGTTACAGCTTAGACCATCAGGATGAAACTATTACAGTTGGTTCCTCAAAACGTGGTAACAAGGGAAGGCATAGTCTATCAACCCTCCATTGGCCAGTTCAACACCCATGGAATCTTTAACGGTAAAATTAGTTATTTATTATACAAGGGAAAAAAGTTGTACATTTTAGCTCCAGGTTGTGTTGTCCAAAAACCGTGAGCTAAAATCCAATATTTTTCCCTTGTATAATACACTATTTTTTACTGTGACAGAAGAATGGACGAATCATTATTGAGAAGATATTACATTATTTTGAAATCTGAAAATTATCGAAGTGAAATTTTAAGTTTTTAACAGTAGGGACACCTGCGTTGTAGTTGTAGGCATCTTTATCATTCGTTTGAAGTAATCAAATATCTGATGTCACTTCTGTCAGTCTAATTCTGTGATTTGATTTCAGAAAATTGCGAATTTAGTGGTTGTTTAGTTATATACGTATCCGCGAAGTCGAATGGAAGATAAAAGGACTTGGAGTTCTTTCTCGGAGACGGTATTATTGACTCATTTTTCGGAACCATAGCACAACAAAGGCTACCAACAGTGTATATATATATATGTGATATATATCCGGGGAAGAAAGTACTCACCTTTTTCCCACGGGAAATGGATGATAGTCGCTGTAGTCGCTCCCACCGCGATGATTATTTTTTTCATCCTGTCTGTAGGGACTTTAGTACTTCAAACCCCCCTCCACCTCCCTGGTCACGCGAACTTATGTTAATTTCTTTCTACGGGTTACATAGTCAACCCACTTCCAAGGCAATGTGCAGCAAGGCTTCACAAATCCTGAGATTCCCCGAGAGAGCCTTGATGCTCTGTCTGTCTCGGTAGGCATGGGGGGAGCGGGCTCGTTCCCTGTCCTGTCTTCCCTCGCACATGCCTAACCACGGGTCAATGGGACGCTAAACGTGGTGGAACCATCCGACGCCTTCTCGCTGCCGACAGGAAGTTCGCTCGATGCGTGTCCTTGTTTGACTCTGCTATCGGCCTTCTCTATCGTGGAGGGGCGCGGTGGGAGGAATGCAAAACCTTGTGAATGCTTTACCTTAAGGTGAAGTACATTGACAATGTAATCAATAGGATCCAATAACTAATGGATGATCAATAAATTTAATGAGGTGATACTCATACTAGTCAGACAAATCGTTTATCGATAAGTCGTTAATGAACAGGATCAAGGTGACATCTCGTAGTCAAAGATAGTATTATGAGAGATTCCCCCACCTTTGATTCCCCACAGCAGAGATCTACAAGTCCAATGCTAAGTGTGAGAGAAATCTTGATAACTAGTAAGATAATATAATGATAGATCATCATTGATAATATGTCATTGAATTCAATGTATCAATTGTATCAATGTAAGTGATTAATCGAATAAAATACTGTGAAGGCAGTTACTGGCGTTGGGCCGATAGTGATTCGCTATTTCAATAAAGATATTTTTCACGATCGGATTATTTGTTGCGCACCGCATCTTTGCGTTCTGTCTCTAGATGCTTCATTTCAGGTCAGATTGAATTGCGAATTTAATGGTTGTTTAAAGTTCTTTCTCGGAGACGGTATTATTGACTCATTTGTCAGTGTATATATATGTGATATATCCGAGAAAAAAGTACTAACTTTTTTCCCACGGGAAAAAAGTAATTTATGAAAGTGACCGTTTTATAACCCAACAGAGATGAAATGCCAAACTTTTTTCCCGTCACTGAAAAAAATCCAATATGTTGGAAAAAATCCAATAATATATAGAGTGAACTGAAATAATGTTAGTACATCATATAAAGAAAATTCTATCACACTTCCTTATGTATGCCATCAGGCAGGTTAGGTTAGGTTAGGTTGACGGATAGAACAAATTTTAGAACAAAATTTTAGGAACATTGAATTACATCTATTGAACACATAATAAGAATTTGAATACAAAATCTTCTGAAGTAGAGACTTTGCATTCTCCTCTTCATATAAAGATATGCACATAATATAATTCTGAATATTCAACAGGAAACACATAGACTTTCCTGGCTATTTGCCACGTCGAACATTGAAATTATATCTGTTGAACATCCAAAAAGAGAGTATGAAAAATGAAAATCCTCTGAAATTGAGAATTGACATCATTTTAATTATATCTGAGAATATTCCTTTTCAATACTTCCACCCAATCAAGGGGTTCAAACTTGACCGATGAAAACTTGTCATTTTCATAGACCTCAATCCTGTGTGATGAATATCAATTTGTAATACATCCAAAAACAAAAAAAAAATATATCTGAAACACCTCAATATAATATTTCTTAAATGCAGACTAATATTTTTGAATTCATACTTTTCTCTTTCACTTCAGTGAATTAGTTGTCTTATTTTGACTTTTTCTTTGAAGACAGAATATTGTTGATAAACTTTTTGCTTCCATTCATGTTCAGACTTCAGACATCTGTAAAACAGTTGAACATAATATGATTGCCTACTTACATAATATACACCTGCTAAACTTTGTTATTATTTGATATTAATTTTCATGTTTGATTTTTATTAGTTTTTTGTAAAATAATTTTCAAACAATTCCAGTAAGAACTACATGATCTCTCAAAGTAATAAGTATTTTAATATTTGATAAAAACTAATCATTACAGCAAAGCTACACCAAAAGACACATTATTTTAATAATCAATAAATTATAAATTAATTAGAATATCAAAGTTCTTAGCTAGCCACAAAATAGTTACCCCTTTGAATGACAAAAATGCCTTACTTATACAGTTATACACTGGCTTCTACAAATATTATTTAACTCATGATGATATTTTGTGATAAATATAATATGGATCCCATACAGGGTACACACAAATCAATTTTTCAATTTACATAAAAACTTAAGACACAGGATTAAAACTTACATAATCATCTTGACAGCGTTCTAGAATCAATAAAAAAAAACAGTTATCCATATTTCTACAATCTGGCCCTTGATCATGTCAAAAAAGTAATTCAAGTTGAATATTTACAGAATGAAGTACAGTTGTATTCAATGAAAAAGCATACCAGCATTAAAATTAGAGGATAACATCATCCTGGTTCTAGTTGTGTGAAACTGGCTCAGCCAATGCTTTGTATGTTTGACTTGACAACCCATGACAGCTTGTTTTATGAAAATAGGATGATGTCAATTTCTCTCGCTAATACATGTATGGTTTTTTTTTGTAATTCAATTGTACCACTTCAAAAAAGAGAGGTCCCTGTCTAGATAACCAGTAAATTGTATCATTTAGCCCTATGCATTGTGAACTAATAAATATGGAATTGATGATAAACTAACCATAACCTATATTCAGTTTGCACCACCAACACTAAACCAACTAGGGAAAAAATGAGGCAATCCTTGAATAAAAAATATGAGCTACATAATATACAGGGTGTTCACCCACACACATATATCTGAAAAGAGGTGGTAGATAATGTGATTTGGAACATATTCAATCATAGCTACTATATATTGTACAAAGTGTTCCACTTTTCCAGCAATCAACACTTTTAAATTCTAAGGAGCAAAAGCATTTTTCTATCACATTTAGATCTCATTAACTGTTCAATATTGATGAAATATGTATTCAATTCTTTAGGAAAGAAAGATACAATCAGATAAAATGTTTTTAACAAAATGATTGTAAAATATGTTTGAGATGTTCTAATCTATCATTCCCTTTCTGATACATGTCAGTGAACCAAACACCCTGTATACTAGTGATTACTTCAGTGTTATGCATTGATGTCATTAGATGTATCTAGGGTCACTTGATGAAAATCCATCCATCCTCAATTTTCATCAATAAGATAAATGACAAATATGTTAATTCTCATCAAGGGACCCTAGATCTATCTAGAGTCCCTGTATGCATTTGACACTTTTGCTATTACAACAAAACTGACAAATTATACAAACAGGGACTCTAGATGTATCTAGAGTCCAGTATAATCTTTGAACCCAAGAAAATACCTAATTGATGGTGGTAACTAATATCACAAAATCCAATTAGAAATATGGTGTTATTATGTGATAGTGACATTATTCTGCAACTTTAAGATTCTGAATACAGTCTGATACTACCTCTAATTCAGTACTATCAACAGAAATTTCTGTAGCTATACTTTCCAATGATTTTGCCTTCTTCATTTGCCTGAATTCTTCAATTGCACAGTCTAACTCATCCACAACATTCCTCACTACAACAGCTGCTTCATTATCATTGTTCTCTGACCTAGTTCTAGGACGTTCTCTTGGATGATCATATGGCTTATAGCGCACATGACTCTTTACAATGGGTTTCACATGGAATCCTATTGCCACCTTACTCACATACTTAGCATTTATAGTAAGAACTTTCAGGAATTTATTATCTTGTATATCACTGACATATTCATCTTTTGAGGCAGCAGGATTATCCAACATTCCCAGTTCATTCAAGGCACTGTCTAAATCACTCAAAAGTGTAGGAACCTGAAATTTTCATGAACCATGAGACTGGGCCCTTTTCAATAAGTTGCATTATGCATATCATCAATTATTAATCAGCAGAAGATTTGCACAAATCATAAGTAATAAAAGGAACAAGAAGTTTTCAAATAGGATGATTTTTGACATAATTTGGAATATTCTATTATGAATGTTGGATGTATTACCTTGATATCTTCACACTGCATTATGAATGTAGTGAGTATTTTTGTATTTGCACAAAATTCAATTATGATTTTTTCAACATTCGGTTTGAATTGTTTGCAGCAAGTACATACTACATAGTGTACAAAAAGAAGTAAACAATACAATATGTGAATATACAATAAAAATAAACATCATCATACAAAACAAGAAATTTACATTGACATTATTGACAACGTCAAATAGTCAAATGCCAGATATGGAAGTTGCGCTCTGTTTCATTTATCAGATATCAGATTACATCACCGTCCCCAGAATCACTATAGGCGTTTTCGGATGTGTCGTCATGGTGCAATGTAGAATGTAGATTTGTTTTTATTTACTGGTGTACCTCCACTAAAAATCAGCTGATTTTGAGTGTAGTGTGAATTACACGTTACACGACACCGAAAAGCAAACGAAAGAACCAGAGACTGTGGTGCTATCTTGTCACTGTGTCCTGTGTCATCACCACGAGTCATCGCTGTCATCAGTGTCATCAATGTCATCAGCCCATCAGTGACATCGTCATCACGTCATCAAGTCATTAATGTCATCATATTTAGAAAAAAGAAATCTTGGAATCTTGGAAATTGGCTGCTGTTCCCGGTGTTAGCACCGATTTAGCAATCTTTGGAATAACAGTTAATTCACATTCTCTACATTATTATAAAATATCCCAAGGTAAGGTATACTTTGTTGGTACATTGGAGTTGAAACGCTTGATGCCTTTAGGAATCTACAAACCAATGTGTTGTATGGTATTCTCTTCAGTTTATTACATAACTTGAACTCATTTTTAGATGCTGTCCTCACAATTACTTAATGGAATCAAAAACTCTATCAAAACAGGAGTATCCAATCGCAACATTGGGATTCTTGCTCCATGTTTACAGAAAGCCACAGATCCCATTCAACAACTATTTGTGGACAAAATTCGTGAATACAAGCAGAAAAGTAGTAGGTGAGTCTTGTCAGTGAATGACCAGTCGTAGGTGCCAATTCTAATAATTGGTTATGCAATCCCTTACATAAATTGTGTTTACCTATGTATTCATAATCATTATAAATTCAATTATCAACATTCATTGTAAATTTCAACAATGGGTCAGTTTGTTTCACATGTCTACTGTTATTAATTATTATATCATAGATCTACCTGAACATCTTACAAAACCTGCTGGGGCCATTTTATTACATTTTATAATATTTGTATTGAAGAAAATTTAGTGGATGAGTCTATCTACATGTTGAAATGAATAATGAAATATTGGTATATCTATGAGTATTGAGTAGGTATTCTAGGAACAAGCCTGATTCATGATGATTCAATTCTTTCAGTGGAAAGAATTTAGTAGAACCAACTCCGGAACTTGAGAAGGAACTGAAAACTGAATTGGAGAAAGTTGCTAGGCAATATGGTGGTGGATCAGGAGTTGATATGACCAAATTCCCATCATTCAAATTCCAGGACCCTGTTATTGATCCAATTAATTTGGAAAAGTGAATGAAATATTCCTTATTCAATATAATAAACAGTAGGCAATAGAATGTTGGTTTTTTTAAGAGATTGGTTGATTTACATTATTTGAATTTGCCAGGTACAGTACCCTGTTCAATGAGAAAAGTCTAATTACTGATGGACTTACTATTGTTAGAATGAGGGAAAACTGTTACACAGAGTGTTTTCATTCTAACTGGTCATAGAATAATAATTGAATGGGGAAGTGAAGTAGTGGAAAAACAAATTACAATAAATGTCAGTTATCAGTTTAATGTTGGTGAGAATTCAACACAGACCACCCGCCTGGGTGGTCTGTGCGTCTGTGGAATTGAACATCCCCCATGCCATGTCTATTGTGGAAGAGAGATATATATAAGGACTTGAGCCTCAGACGAATAAAATTCGTCTGAGACTTGAGCCATTAGCCATTTTTCCTCGCCACTCAAACCACAAACTGCTCAAAGTCTATCCCAAACATATATTTACTATTTCTATATATGGCGCACCGCCTATACTATATCTCAACAAAAATGGGACCAAAATGAGAGGTACTTTTAGGTAGGGTCCCTTGATGGAAATTGACGTTAAAGTCATCTTAACAGGGTACGGACAGATCCTCGTCTCCTCTCACTCTAAAGTGTTTGTGAAACAGTTATATAGTCCCATCCTTATTCAATTCTGGGGATAATCACTAGATTTTTGACATTCGTTGTTTTTTAGGTTATATTGAGGTCACTGGCGTATCATACGTAATTTCCATATGGAATTTCTGATTCAACTATACCAAGATATAGATGAACAATCCTCTAGTTTCAGAGTTTACTACTCCAGAATAATGTTTGCGATTCAGGGAACATATAAATTGTACTGAAAGCTTAATATATTTCACCAAAAGAGACTATTCTTAAACTATATACCAGGGTTGACTGAATTGACTGAATGAATTCTGATTTCAAGCTGAGTAGTAGTTTGTCAATGAGCTGAGCCTTATGATTGAGAAATGGTGGAAACCGCGATGTGGGTATCTAGACTACTGAATTCATGTCATGTGTGCTAAATATATTTTCAGAAATCCAACTCGGAGAAGAATTTATGGAGTTACTAATATCACACTATGTTTAAAACTCCGTCTAGGACCAAAAGTAGGCTGATAAAAATTATTACGTTAAATGCGCAGGAAAGTAAAGAATAGAATATACTTCACCCCCATGTTATACATATGCATTTTCAGTCTCTTTTGAATGAAATGTCATTTTCGAATAATTTATTGATGAAAGTGACAAAGAAGTATAGGTATACGCTAAGTATACGCAGTATAACTTATAGGCACGTTATTTTCACTCTCGCATCCTATGCATATTGTCTATTTGTGGCAGAGTAATAATTATATAAACTAATGTCTTTTGATGAAAAAGTCATCATCTCCTACCCCGAAAACTCCCAGATACCAATTTCGAATAGACTCGGATCTTCATTACAAAACTCGTCCACCATATATTGGATCCGTCATCTTGAATATCCCAATTCTGACGAAATAATTATAATCTCCGACCCCGGAAATCCCCAGATACCAATTTTGATTTTTTGAATAGAATCGGATCATAATTACAAGTTTCGTTCGCCATATTGGATCCGCTATCTTGAATTTCCCAATTTTGACGAAAAATCATAAGGTTCGACCCCGAGAACCCTCAGATACCAATCTTAGATATATATAGAATCAAATCATAATTAGTTTATTTTGCTATATATTGGATCCGTCATCTTGAATTTTCCAAGTTTGACGAAACAATCATCATCTCCAACCCCGGAAAACTCCAATTTTGAATAGAATCGGATCATGATTACAAAACTTGTTCGCCATATGATCTTCCTCAAAAAGTAAATACCCTGTACATACCTATCACTAAAATTTTGAATGATTTTCTGTAGCGCCCATGGATGAGACGTGACAGCAATGTCAGGGATGCCAGTAGACAAAACTAAAATCTCTAGATCATTAAAAAAGAATGCAGCTATGATCTGTCCATACCCTGTTGAGATGACTTTTATGTCAATTTCCATCAAGGGACCCTACCTACTTTTAGGATGGAAACAGCCATATTAATCATTCCAGAATTACGTCATTTGACAGGTTGCTGAGGGGCAAACATTGTATTTTGTCAAGATTTATCAAACCAGAATTAGTGGGATCGTTTTCCTTGGAATCCGAGTTGGAACCAGTAAGATGTTCATAATTTTGTTTGGTGAAACTGTTATTATATTGTGGATGTGGCAGGGATGGCCAGGGCTATGCTCATCAAACCTAACAGATAGTTTGTGTGCCCTTCAAGAAACCATGTCAAAATCACGTGTTCTAGAATGATCAATTGGTTTAACAAGTTTCGTATCGTATTACTATTTTTTCCCTACGTCGGCATCAACGCCTAATGGTCGATTTCGTTACCAGTTGGACGCCCCCCGCTTTGACTGCTTTGAGTAATAAGACGTGACAGCAATGTCCAAAACTAAAATCTTTAGATCATTAAAAAAGATGCATGCAGCAATGATCTGTCGGTACCTCCGTGACTTAAACGTCATCAGTACGCTGACGTCATCAAGGGACCCTATCATGCACCAAGGATTATGAACTCTAGACAGCTTTTACCATACCAACACTGTGAAATTTCAGTGTTGAAGTGTATGCAGTATGCAGTGTGAGAGTTTACGGACAGTCCTATCTAGAGTCCCTGTATGTATTTGACACTTTTGCTGTAATAAGAGTACGGACACTATGACAAGCAGTGACAGAATGCATAACCCTAAAAAATTTGAAATGACATGAACAATTTGGCGGGCACTGACAGTTCATGAACGTACATGACATTAAATTATTTGAAAATTATGGTTTTCAAAAATTAAAATGTCTAATTGTGTAGTGGAGAATTGCAAAAATGGAAGTGAGTCCTTTCATTTATTCCATTTCCCCCATTCTAACCAACAAGTACATATACCCTTTGTTAAGTATATCGAGAAATACTTTCAACAAATTGATTTACAAACTATGACCCCTTTTCGCCAGTGAGATGAGACGCCACTTCTTTATGAAAATAAAGACAGAGAAAGATATATGGATGTACCCTTCACCGCGGCAGTAGAGGATAGAAGATCCGAAGTGCATGGAAAAGCATATCCATGTCTTTGTTCAAAAGTCATTTTGAGAATTTGGGGTTATGCCTTCCGTCACTGCTTGTCATAGTGTCCGTACTCTTATTACAACAAAACTGACAAATATATACAGGGAATTATACATACAGGGACTCTAGTCCTATCTTGGTCCCAAGGAGTAGGGCGTGTTTTTCATTCCATCAAAGAAAGTGCGCACTGATAGATGCGGTTTTTTGTCGTGACGTCACCAATTGTTCTGTTGGAATTTATGCTGGAAGGATTGAACAATGGTTTATACAACACATTGATGGAAATACGGATTTTGTTGTGTGTCAGTCATCATTTATCTTGAGAACCAGAAAAGGCTAATTCGACTTTATTGATTAACACTGACTCTTTCTTCTGAAATCTCTCAAGAATCTAAAAAATCCTCAATATTAATTGTTTTCTATCAAATCAAAACAAAAAACAACACTAAAATGTGTCAACTGTCATGTCAATCTCCTCCAAACTGCTGGATTCTCGAAAAGCGATTTGAAAGTGCGCATTTTATTACAACAGTTTGATGGATGTCCATCAACATTCCAGCGGAATTTTGCAACAGTTTGATGGTTTCTTCGATTCATGCGCATGCTAAAATGTTGGAATGAAAAACGCACCCTTATCAACCGATATTCGATCTATCACATCTCAAAAATCCGTGAAGTGCCAAAAGTCATGGTTATTTGAATTCTTCTATGAATCAAATGTGAAAGTTTGGTGACAAATGAAGTGAACTGAAATTGAAACTTCTAGTTCTGAAGTTTTCATGTTTTCATCGTCTCAAATTTTGTCTTGTTCTAGTCTTCTAGTTGTTTTTACTTTAAACTTTGAAGTGGCATGAATAAAATGCACAACGAGTATGTAACAAACTCTACTTTTCAGCGAATGTTCAACTGTTATATATAGATACCCACAGAGAATAAAAAATATCAGTTGGCATCTCAATTAAGCAAAATGAGTGATGAATTACAAAACTATCAACTGCAGCTCCAACAAGTGGAAGCTGCTTTACTCAGTGATCCAGACAATCAGGAATTACAAAAACTGAAAATCGATTTGAATGAAGTAATAGATTTGACTTTAGACCTCAAAAACAAAGCTGAAGAAGCAGCTAATCAACCAGAATATACAGAGCCAGTTGGAGTTGCTGAGGACGATGAAATCACGAAGTCGCTGCTTGCTGTTGAAGAATTTGTTGCACGAAATAGGGCGAAGAAAATGTGGCGAGTGGGAGATATTTGTATGGCAAAATGGAGTGAAAGTGGACAATATGTTGAAGCTCGGATCGATGTCATCAATCCTGATGGTCAGGTAAATGTTACATATGAAGCTTATAAGAATCGAGGTGTTACTACTCTATCAGAACTTCGTGAATTCACAGGTCAGAAACGAGTACTCTCTGAATCTGAGAAAATGAAGAAAGCAAAGATGCATAACAAAGAATATTTGAAAAAGAAAAAACTCAAGAAACAACAGAGATTCAAAGAGTTGGAAGAGGAGAGGGAGTGTGAAAAGAAGAAGTGGCTTGCCTTTGCCAATAAAGCTGTCAAAAACAAGAAAACAGGCCTAAAGTCAAAAAGCATATTTGCCTCTCCTGATTCAGTTAATGGTCGTGTAGGAATTGGAACCTGTGGGATAAGTGGTAAACCTATGACTGAATTCACTACTGCTGAGAAGTGGAGAAAAGGTGTTTGAGACTATGAACATTATAAAATTTAGGTTATACTCTCAAGAATTATTATTTCTGAACAATAAAAGCTTTTGTAAATTATCATATTTTCAATCATGAAATTTGCATAATTCAATATAGTCTTTTCTTGAAATATGTTATTTTTGATCAGCCTCATATGAAAATTAAAGGTTGAAAATGACAACTGACATGCTATTCAATCAGGATATGCTGGATATGTCACAAAAAGTGCCCTCACATGGTCCCCACTTTGTCCTCACTAGAATCTTTGCTTCTTGGTCTTTGCTATAGTTTAGCTGAGCTATAGTTTACTAATACCAGCTAATACAGTTGATAGTACACTGATGGCTGCCTTTGGAAGATCTGTTATTGATCCCAACAAATTTGAATTTACCGCCAAATTATTATAGCAGTGTTGCCGATAACAATGTTTTCGTCAAGTTTACAGATACGATATTCAATATAAGACTATTCAAAAACGGTCATTTTAATTCCGGTGTCTATACAAGTTGTCGTAATACAGGGTGGTCCACAAGATTTTGGCCAACCGATATCTGGAAAACTTATCAAACTATCTATAAACTTTGAAACTTTGAATGCCACTTTCATTCCAGTAAATATCAATTTTTGTAATACCATAGTAATTTCGCAAATGGCATGACAATAATAATAATATAATGTTGTAAGTATATTTCCAAGAACTTATAATCTCCAGAAGTTGAAAAAGAAATCCAACACCTACCTCCTCTTCTCATCCTTCCTAGGTACGCACGATGTTCTCCGAACATTATAGTGAATAGTGATTCCCTTTTGTGCGCACCAAGCGATAAAAAAAAGTTGCATAAAAGCATCGGTTGTGCTCCAGGTACTAGTATTGAGTAGGTACCTATTCAAAATATGCCTTTTAAGTACATGATAATATGGTGTACAAATTTTGGGAAGTTGTTTCCCCTTCGAAATTTTCTGATCAGTGTCATTTTTGGAACTTCAAATATGTCTAATGTGCGGTTTAGACGGAACAGCCTGTATAAAATTAATGGTGTATCAAAACATAACGTCATATGAGCGAAATTAATTAAAGTGGAGTATTGACAACACTGTAATTAAATGGTAGTGCGAGTACACAGTGCGTGCAGCGTGTGCTACAGTGTTGTAAGCTCGAATATTTCATGGCTAGTTCTAGCTATTTTTTAAAACGCCTACATCATAATCAAAAATTGCATCTTGTCGTCAGCCTTTTTTTCTAGCTATTGATTGAATCTGTACCATGAAAAAAAAAAGAGACAGAGAATGATAATATCTGTAATATACCCCTAATAATTATTCTTGGAAAGGAAAAAGTGAAAAAGTCTATCTATTCTTGTCAAGGAGAAATATTTTCCACCCAAATCCTTGATTGTAATATGATCAGTCGCTCAGTTCAGATTTTTTGCCAAAAAAGTGGATTTTGATTTCTCAGTCCCAGCAAATTCAGTTGCATCACAAAGATATCGCAGCGATGTAACAATTGTGAATATTATATGTAGTTTATGTCGGCGAGATGAAAGCAAACCATGCATAATTTGACAGCAACGTAACGAATGTTTGCGAGTTTAGCTTCACTTTCTTGAGTAACGTATATTCATGTATTGTTTTTCACCGAACAAGAATCTCAATAACTTTATGAAAAAATGTCATGTCGCAGATGTGTTTGTTTCTGTACATCGCAGTGATGGAACACTCATAATATCGCAGTGTTGCCGCATCGCGACATCTTAGTGATGTCATGTGTTGGCTGGGGCAATGGCCAATGATTTGATGAGAATTGGTTGAAAAAATAGTTGGTAGGTAATTTTATTCATCTCCCTGGACTAACATTTTTTAATAAAATGGCAACAAAATTGAAAAATTATTCGTCTGCATGGGCGCGGGCTTTCTTTGGATAGTTCCATGTAAATCATATGATACATGGTGTAAGTATATTATATGTATATATATATATACATCCCGCTATTTTCAGGGCGTCCTTTCATAACCCATACTCTGAGCGTCCACTATGAATTTCTCATGCAATCCCTTCTATATAGTATGTATATCCTCTAACTCTGATTAAAACATGGCGCTCTAGGTCGATGAGCTTTATGCAGTGGGAAAAAATTTTTGGAATCTACACTTGACTGAATTCAAAGCGTCCGTTGATAAACCCTCCACCAAGCGTCCAACATATACAGCGAAAGTTTCAAATTCCGACTACTCAGCGTCCGGCAAGGTATATGTTCCTTACATGTCACAGATTTCTGAGCGTCCAGCGATGTTGTCAAATCATAAGGTTCTTAGTCAATCATAGAAAGCTTATGCAGGAATAATTTTTGAATGTCCTCTCAGTATGTCGATTTGAGGGCGTCCTCGACGACATGGAAATATATCAACGCTGGGTTTGGACATTTATTTGTATTATTCACATTTCACGTACAAATGGTATCAGTTACAGTTATATACCAATAGATTGTAAACTTCAGATCGTCTTTTCACCGTGTTCTGATCAGCTGGAGTTATGTTAACTCCTTGAACTTTTATAAGACATTCCTCTCCCAATGTGAAGAGTTGGTACTGGTCATACAGGGTGATTTGCGTTGGCTGCACATCATAACGTCACCAATTCATAGTTGAAATTTGGTAGCTGTCATAAACGATTAATTCCATTCTTCTTGAGTATTTACAGTCCTTCATTTCAATCCACTGAAGGTTTTTGTCTCGAATTTGGCTGTCTTAATTGCTTTACCATTGGACCTGTCGACCAGCATGAACAATAATGATTTACTACCCTAATAGCACACAACGTCTTAGGGACGTCCCTATTTGGTACAATTCACGTCCGAATGTCCCGAACCAAAAATGAGTGTCTTTGGGACGTCCTATCCCGAACATCCCATGCAATGTCCGAGCAAGAACGTTCACGGAATGTCCCAGCTGGTACATCATTCCAAATGTTCTAGAAATAGCATCCCTTAGACGTCCCATGTGGTACATATTGTAGAATGTTCATGCAAGGACGTCCTCGGCATGTCCCTGATGGGATAAGATTTTAAACGTTCCTTTAGAGACATCCATCGGATGTCCCGAGTAGTACATATTCTGGCATGACTTCAGATCTTATATAATGTCCCTTCTAGACAACCTTGAAATGTCTCTGATGGTAGATTCCTTCAAATAACTCTGCACAGACGCCCCCAATATTTCCAGGATCGTATAAAAATCGAAATGTCCCTTAGGGATATCCGTCGGATGTCCCAGTCGGTACTTTCAATATGTTGTCCCTGCGAGAACGTTTACTTACACCTCGCCGACGAATGATTGCTCGTAGACTTCAAGTACTCCTCGTCAATGTCCTTCACGTAAGTCCATTGGGCATCCGTGGAAAACTTTTTGGGGACCTCCTACGGACCATCAACTCAACTGGATGTCCTGATCAGTTATGCAAGATCTGGTCCTAGAGGGACCCAGGAAAATTCGAATTCAAGAATAATTTGTACGTCCCTGGGACATCCTATGGACATCCAATTGATATACCTCACCATTGCTGATAGTTTGTCCTATGGATGTCCTAAGGAAGTCCTCTGTAGTGCTTGATAAGGAATACTGTAGGATTCAGGATATCCCTCAAGGACGTCCCTAGTTGGTCCTCAAGTGGGACATTTGTGCGTCCCACAGACGTCCAATTAACGTCACCAATTTATAGTTGGAATTTGGTAGCTGTCATAAACGATTATTTTCATTCTTCTTGAGTATTTTCAGTCCTTCATTTCAATCCACTGAAGGTTTTTGTCTCGAATTTGGCTGTCTTAATTGCTTTACCATTGGACCTGTCGACCAGCATGAACAATAATGATTTACTACCCTAATAGCACACAACGTCTTAGGAACGTCCCTATTTGGTACAATTCACGTCCGAATGTCCCAAACCAAAAATGAGTGTCTTTGGGACGTCCTATCTCGAACATCTCATGCAATGTCCGAGTAACAACGTTCACGGAATGTCCCAGCTGGTACATCATTCCGAATGTTCTAGAAATAGCATCCCTTAGACGTCCCACGTGGTACATATTGTAGAATGTCCATGCAAGGACGTCCTCGGCATGTCCCTGATGGGATAAGATTTCAAACGTTCCTTTAGAGACATCCATCGGATGTCCCGAGTAGTACATATTCTGGCATGACTTCAGATCTTATATAATGTCCCTTCTAGACAACCTTGAAATGTCCCTGATGGTAGATTCCTTCAAATAACCCTGCACAGACGCCCTCAATATTTCCAGGATCGTATAAAAATCGAAATGTCCCTTAGGGATATCCGTCGGATGTCCCAGTCGGTACTTTCAATATGTTGTCCCTGCGAGAACGTTTACTTACACCTCGCCGACGAATGATTGCTCGTAGACTTCAAGTACTCCTCGTCAATGTCCTTCACGTAAGTCCATTGGGCATCCGTGGAAAACTTTTTGGGGACCTCCTACGGACCATCAACTCAACTGGATGTCCTGATCAGTTATGCAAGATCTGGTCCTAGAGGGACCCAGGAAAATTCAAATTCAAGAATAATTTGTACGTCCCTGGGACATCCTATAGACATCCAATTGATATACCTCACCATTGCTGATAGTTTGTCCTATGGATGTCCTAAGGAAGTCCTCTGTATTGCTTGATAAGGAATACTGTAGGATTTAGGACATCCCTCAAGGACGTCCCTAGTTGGTCCTCAAGTGGGACATTTGTGCGTCCCACAGACGTCCAATAGACGTCCACGATACCAAATTCGAACGACCTATGGACGTCCTGAATGTCCCGACAGGACTTTCAAAGTTGAGACAATTTCAGAGATTTATTTTCAATGTCATCAAGAACGATATCTTCAATTCTGAACTCGTTCCTTGTCAACCATTTTTGACAATATTTCGAATCCATGGACCGATTGATGCCTACAGTATGAGTAATAATCTAAAAACGTGGTCATATATATTATGCACTGTGATGATCTCATATAATCGTGGCATTGTTTGAAATTGACAAAACACAACATTCGAAGCTGACAATAGCTTGAAGTGAATCGTGCTACCCTGGAGGCAAAACATTGACACACAACCTCACTTTTTCGAAAAACATTGAAACACAACCTCACTTCTTCTATTTTTTCACAGAGGTATCAAATGATTGTACTAGTTTTTCATAATATTATGGCAACCGAATCGTGTTTTTTGCACTATTTATTAATTCAAGCATGCCATCTACAGCGAGGAATATGATTTTTCAGGTGAATAGTAATCTCACAATACAAGCTAATACTGCTAATAGATTGGAAATCTCTACAACACACACGGTCATATTTCGTCAGCATGTCAGACCAGTCCTTCCATTTGATTGATTGATTGATCCAATCTTCTTGCATTCTTCTAGAAATTCCACGAGTATTTCTATCCGCTCCTATTGCACAAGGAATTCCGATAGGGAATCAGAGAAATTACCAAAGTTTGAAATGAGAACTATATGTGAGTGACTATAGTAGGTATACTTTCTTTCAAATCTTCATGTACCAACCAGATTCCTTCGTCTCTCGCGGCAGTCAGGGTGTAAAGTATACCGCTGTTAGATTTTGAAATATCCAAGTGTGATACTGATTACATTTTCAATACTATAGTACAGCATATTATAATGAACATGAGATTAAAGCTATTCTTTGCTGTTCTCCATATCAGTTATACCTAATAAGGATTGAATTGTCTCTCTCTATCTATGTTCCTATATTTCTTTCAGGTGACGAATCAAATTGTTATGATACTGTTCACCCACCAGTTCTCATGTGAATTGGATTGAGTCAAAATTGATAGAAAATTTTGACATTCCGTCTTGAAATAGTATTAACACGGAATGGATATCATGAAACAGTGTTGCCATTCATCTCCGTCGTCGAGGACGCCCACCAATCGACGGGATGGAAGTACTTTAATATACCTAATCGGGGACGCCCACCAATCGACGGGATGAAAGTACTATATACACCTGATGAAGGACGCTCACCAATCGACCAGATGAAAGTACTATATACACCTGATGAATATACATGAGTTGCACAGGTCGCCTCTATCGGCAGATGCGTTGTACTATCAATATATCTCTAATATTCAAATCTGCAGGTTGTGCCATCATCTGAGCGTCCAGACAAATTTTTTCCAACGCGTTCTCCGGAACTTCTTGAGTGATCTACTGTAGGCAAACTTCCGAGCGTCCGTATACGGACGCTCTGTAGGAACTGGACGCTTGGAAGATAGGGATCGGTCAATGTATGGACGCTCGGAAGATGGTAGGATAAATATATATATACATAATATCTATGGATATTTGATATTTCTAACTACTAAGCAACACGACGTGGCAACGCCGTACGTGTGGTAGTCACGTTGTAGTCATTGTTGGGTATTCTGTGGTCACGCTTATTTATAAATACGGATTACATTATTGGGAGACCACATTGCCGAATCAAAATCTTGTTTATTTGGCGAATCGAACATTGAATTGAATAGTCTCGAGTTCGAACAGTCTAGTGATAAGACAGTGCTGCGCATTTAGATATATTATTAGTTACTTTCTCAGGTTATTGTTATGTCCGCATCTCCTATGGCTAGGCAAGTTGCGGAAAGCAAGGCGATCCCCATCAAAAGGGTGCTGATAAATGACCCTTCAGAACTGCCATCACACTATTGCTCAACCCCTGGCGGAACTCTCTTTTCTACAACTCCAGGAGGTAAGTTCAGTTTTTAACTTGTACTTATATACTGTGCCTTTTGTTTCAAAATATAGGTTTGTATCAGGTTTGTATATAAACTGATCGAAAAAAAGTTATACCTATAAAGTTATATTTCAGTTTTTAACCTGTACTTATATACTTTTTTATTTTTTTTTTTTTTATTTTACAGAAACAGGTTGCCTAACAGATTTTACAATCCTATTATAAGGCAACACTAAAGTACATTAAATAATAATACATTTTTCGAGTAAACTCACAGTAAACTAATCCATCTTAAACTAAATATCTAACCAACCCTGGAAAATTTATTTTATGATGTACAAGTGTATGAATTATCATTATTATCCAAATTAGAAATACCATTCTTTGGTAAGGTCATATTACTTAAAACTAAAATATTTCAACATACAAAATTACTGGTGATATATACATAAATACAAATCAAAGTGGAATACTGCTAATATACTGTGCCTTTTGCTTCAAAATTTAGGTTTAGTTTACATTAAGTATCCTATACCTATAAATAAGGTGTACTATATCCACAGTTTATGGAATACCTATCTATTCCATGAACTGTGCTATAGATAGATCTAAAGCATCCGCTTTTCATTCTGTATAGTGATTGAGAAAGTAAAAATAACATACATACATGAAATGAAATTTTCAATGCCCAAATTGACCACGAAATGCAAAATTACACGACATAATACGGTAATAATAAAATAAGATTTTTTAATAATTAATCAAACATCCGGATAAAACGATGACGAAATACCTTCCCGATACCTACCTATAGGTTAGGTAGTACCGAATTGTATATTCTTTTAACTGTGGTACCGAGGGTAGTACCACAGTTTTAACTGTGGTAGTATTATTCTCTCAACTGTGGTAGTATACATACATAGACGATAATTCCACCTTGCAAGTATGAAGAGTATGCTTTTAGATCCATGCATGGACAATCCCTGTAATCCCTGTGAGAAACTTGAAAAATACAATACACCTAATTTTGTAATTTCGAGTACCCTTATTATCTGAACTGTATTAATGTTGGTGAGTACGTAACTACGTTTGTTTCTAATTTCAATAGAGAATTAATTTTTGAAACCATTTACTTGAGGTGTATTTTCTACGATCGTGTTGTAGTTATAAACTCACTGATACACCTGGTATACTTATCTGACTTTATCTCTACACTGAGATGGCGATTGAATTAATTGGCTGATTCTGCCTACGCCACACTCAATAGCCTTTTTCCATCTATAAAAAACCTACCTAATCCGTTTTAAAAATCACTTTATAGTTTGTTGTTCGTCATGTTTTGGGAGATCACCTCGGAGATCACTCTGTGAAACGTCTAAGGGCCGTGGAAATGCCACATTCATTATTGTTTTCTTCGAGTTTTTTGCTCGGTTAACATTGACTTGATAGGTAGGTAAACCCGGGATGTACAGTGCGGCCCAATTAAATCGTAACGATTTGATCGAATTCAAATATTTTTGTCTAAGCACATGAACTAGGTATTCATTGCCTAGAAACGAACTATGTTACCCTCATTAGTATTTTATTACCTGCTTCGCGCTGTAAAGGTATAATAGGGTGTCCTCAGGGGTGTTATTATTATTATTCGAACCTGAAAAATAACGATGACATGGTTCATCTTTGGCAACTATATATGAATTACATAAATAGGAATTGATCTGAACTGCTTTACTATCAGACTGGCCGGTAGTGATAGATTTTTTGTTATATTTTTTAATGTACCTTTGCAACTTTCTAGTAATGATTTTCATGGGTTTTCAAGTTGTCCTAGGCAATTATCAAATTGTGCTCGCGCGTCACCAATCAAATTTGAATTTGAAACGAATTGAAGATTTCGAACGATTAGTAAGTGCATGAAATTATTGAAATTATATTATGAATTATAAATATCACAAATGTCTCAACACAATCAAAAGAGACTAATGAATGAGATGAGAATCGAATTATAATTCTTGCTTCCTGTCCTACAAAAGGTAAATTATGTGTAAACCAATGAAATTTTTGATATACCACAAATCTCTAGGAATTTCCGTTGAAAGAGCAATTATAATGAAAATATCCTGTAACTCATTTGTAGACTAAAATCACTCATTCATATGCCAACATCAGTATGACACTGAAAAGTGTCAAACTATAAGCAGCACAACTTTCAAAGAGAAATATTTGGCATTTACATGTTGAGAACGGGAGCAGATTCGGTCCCGAAACGTTCAAAGATAAGTAAAAATCTTCTTCTTTTTTTCAAGCAAATTGTCACTGACAAGCTACTGGGTTTTTCTTTTAGACTCCCTGATAAAAACATTTGTTAAAATATACTACATCATTTTTTATCTCCTTTGTTTTGGCTCGCAAATACGTAGTTATTGATAAGGCATGAGTGCACGTACCAATAATAATGATGATAATAATAATAATTAAAACGAACTTCATTTCTCGAGTTATTTGTAGTCTCATAAAATATTTTTTATCAATTTGTTTAAGTACGCTATTTATATAGTAGGTACTTAGTTATAGTCAGATGCGCTCGTATTGCGAATTGGGGTCAAGATATGATTATGATGATACATAATGATAATAACTGATAAAAGAAAGAGATGGTGAAGATTGAACGAATTGAAAAAAATAATAAAGGTTTTCGTATAAATTTAGCATATCAGTTGATAAGCGATGTTTATATATACGTTTCACGTTTTTTACCAACGTACTAGGTTGGTAGTTCCTGTAGTATCTATCTACTCCAATAAAAAAATAATCAAATCTTTCGAATTAATAGAGCTAATTGAATGATATTCCAGTTTGTTATTCGGTGTTGAAATTTCGTCACGTCCAGTCAAGAAGATAACAAGCTAGTGGTCGCCACCTGAGGCGCGTAGCATATTTCTTTTTTTTTTTCCTCAACTATTTTCCATGTTTTCTTCAATATTCTTCTTAAGGGGGTGCCAAGGGCTGTGGTCTGTGGCTGGTGCAGATAAATATCATAATTAGAGTAACTCCGACGTAAAAAATTCTAGAGCAGTGAATTCGGGCCATCTTGATAGCCAATGCATCAGATCAGACACTAAATGAACAATTAACATTTTTGTCCTAAGAAGTCGTAATCTAGTACCTATAGTATGAGCTCTCATCATAGCATTGACTCATTCCGATAGTGACCGACGTCTAAATCGGTTCACCAATTGTTTCATCCATTCCACTTTGCTTTCGTTTGGAATGTTCCTATGGTATGTAATATAAATCTCAATCTCAATTTGTCATTCGTCCTATTATTATTTGCGTGCACGTCATCAACATTTAACAATTATCAATTAACATTTATCAATTAACAATTATCAATTGACAAGTGATTAGAATATTGACATTTATGCAAACCAAATTAACAATTAATGAATAGTACGCAAGCGCACATGCCCTAAATCAAGGCTATCAAAGCCATAACCTTAAAATTTCGTTGTTTACAATTTACATAAGGAGCTAAAATTTCAAATTTCAAAATGTTTTCTGATTTGGGAGAGACTGGGTTACTTTCATTCACAATTATTTTGTTGAGTGCGATTGTTTTATGTTAAAACAAATTTCACAACATCTGTCAGATGTCAGGTCTGACATTGGTCTGACCAATCCATGCCTTCTCTACCAGTCGATGAAACCAATCCGCGTTCATTTGAGTAACTAGATGCGCACTAGAAGAAAATCTAGTTCAATTGAAGTAAGAAAAGTTCGCCAACTTCTTACTTGTTACTTGTTAATTGATAATTGTTAAATGTCTGCATAAACACCTTCATTGAAAACAGGAAGTTCAACTTTTAATTGCTACTTGCTAAATGATAAATGTTACTTGATAATGGTTAAATGATGCTGCAAAAATCCACCTTTCTCTTTTTTACCCAGCTCAAAAAGACAATCTTTGCCAGAGGTTCGAATCGCTCCCATCAGGGTGAACTGATTATTTTGAGAATAATGTTTCTTCTGAGGTTTTTGATTTTTCATTTTATTCTTGTGGGTATAAGTTTTTCTCTGTAGATCTGAAAAAAAAACTCAATCGGCACAGTATAATATAGGTACATCATATCAGTATCGGACGATTATTATAGATACTAAACGTTCCAGAATCCGACAATATTTTTTGTGTGAAATATTCAGGTGGGCCATTTTATTTTTCAAACAGGATAACGGATCGAATTTTCTGAAAATTGGCATCTCGATTGGCATTTCCCCGTTTTTTAGTCACTCAACAGTGTGTCCCTAAAAGGTCTGTACACAATCTCAGCATAAATTCCTAAGCCGATTCAAAGCTCACCTCAGTTCGAAATTGTCCAATTTCCGAGATACAGGGTAGTAAATTTGAAAAATGAGAATCGAATTTTTCAAAATTCATGAACATTTTTACATTTGCCTCTCACTTCAAAAATTGGAATGCGAAACCCGAATACGGACACCTTTTCACTGTCGCCATTAGAGCAGGGCGCTTACCAATGCACTTCTTATAGTTTAGAATGGCCATAACTTTTTTCTCAGTGTAATTGTTCACTTTCTTCGTTGAAGAAATAGTTTCCTGAATATTTTGAAGCAATAAAGGTACACTTGTGAAAATTCGCTTAAGTTATCTGTTTTCCACCGAGTTTTCCAAGAGGTTTTCGAGAAATTTCGGTTTTTAGTGTTCGATGCCGGACTCGATGCCGGATGCCGCACCGGAATATTGAAATTATTTTGAATAAAAAATTGTTTGCTGTTATCTTCGTGGATGAAATTTGCATGGTCAGTGCAAAAACGGATTTTTCAAAATACATTTTTGGAGTGTACTAAGATTTTGTACAGGCCTTCTAGGAAAACCAATATTCATTTTTTGCTTCGATCAAGGATCATGTAAAAGTAAAATCGACTCCAGTTTTGGGAAAGTTGGAGGGAGGGGGGTGTACACAGTGGCTGTAGCTCTGAGGGGATGGATTTTAGGACCCATGCTTTTTTTAGTCTTATTTTGATCCCAACAATTCGTCTTTGAAGCATCTACATCTCGATCTACATCGAATTTTGAATCACCCTGTAAAATGACTGGCCTACACTGCAATGCAGTTCAATTAATTTATTCTACAGGGTGTTCCTTAAAGACATGCTGAAAACTTTATATGAACGTATGTCCTAAAAGTCTTAACTTTTGAGATGCAGGGTGATGACATTTTGAAAAATATTGAGTATTTTGATGATAACTGAGACAATATTGTATACATGTTTTTGAAATTTGGTACACGTCTTTTATACATCTAGGTGCATTTTCCGATGTACAAAAATTTTCATTTTCTCTACCAGTAGCACCATTACGAGAACATTATTGTTTATATTTTACCTAAAAGTGAGCAACGACGAAAAATTTTCAAATTTCATACAATGTTATGAAAGGCTATTTAATTATGTACAAAAATGATCCTCTTGTTGATACTCGATAGAACGCTTCGTTTTCGATAAAAAACGGAAAAACGAGACCAGACTTCAAATTATACCGATTCAGTCACATAGCAGGCTAAATTTTGCCATCACGAAAAAATAACCTATGCATATTTTCAACATTGATACCCTGTATCTCAAATGTAAGGACGTTTACGACATATGTTCATATGAAGTTTTATTCTTGAAATGGATCGAAGAATCGGCCCCTTTAATATTAGCATACTATTGAGGAACACCCTGTATATCAAAAATCACGGTGTACCTATTCGTTTTTTTGTTGTAACTGCGCACTTGAAAATAAAAATCACATTTTTATGTTTCAAAATGTGAATGTTATTTATACCTACGACATGCTGCAAAATACCGGCGAATCCAAGGTTTATGATAATATTCAGCGCCACGTGTAGTGTTGGCATACCTACCAGAGACCGAGATATCGTAAACAACGACTATTATTTACTTTTTTACATAATACTGAATGACATTGAACCCACTTCAGCCATGCGTTGGTTTATTTATTTTGAATTCGCAATGAACAATTCTACCGGATGAACTGAAAACTGAATATAATTATACCGGGTGACACACAGTGGCGTAACTTCATATTTTGGGCCCCCTGCCAAAATCACTTAGGACCCCCTCGAGACGAACCTTTCCAGTCAGAAGTCCCTTCTTTCCATGAACTTTAGTTATATTGAATAAATGAATAACCAACAAGCTTCACAATACGCTTTATTTTCTTTGGGTGAATAACACAACCATTTTCTTGGAATAATTTGCCCATGACTTTTCTGTGGATAATAATAATTAGAGAAACTCCTCGTTTAGAAAATTTATATCTGGTTGAGACGGGCCATTACGAACAATAATTAACATTGGCCACTGAAATTGCCTTTATCACAAGGAAATGATTCTTCAATTAATACATCCAGTAATGAATCATCTGACTCAGTTCCATCTCCAGGAGTTCTCGAATTCAAGGCAGGTATGGGCTCCTCGTGGATTTCACATAGAATACTTTTTATATTCACACCATCTGTACCTACAGTTTCGAAAGCAGTAGTAGCAGGAGTCTCGACATTTGCTAGGTAAAAATTTGATATTTTTTTCTATATACCTTTATTTCTCTACTCCAAACTTTTTTCAATACAAATGGGCTTATATCACAAAAAAAATGTATTTCATAATTCGATAGAACTCACCCAAACTAGCTCACCACCGCAAACCGTTTCTTGCTGTGAGCTCCCTGCGTTTTATAAAAAATTATTGAAATCCCCGATTTTTCGGACCTCTGAAAACGAGGCGATGATGTGACGTCAAAACCCTAATACTGAAACAAGACTTTTCCAGACAGAGATGAATGGTACATGATTTCTGACAGAGTGAATTAGCGCGAGATCACAGTTGAAAAAATTAATATATCAGTTGCCTCAGTCTCCGTCGGTCGTGTGGTATTTTCTTTTAACTATGGCGAGATATGAGGTTTCTACGTCATAACAGGGTCCGTTTTCAGAAGGTACTAATATTTATGTCCAAAAATCAAACATTTCAGTTAATTTTTCGATCGAATTATGTCGTCAATCATTATTTATGTATGAAAGGATCGTTATAAACATGGTTTGAGTTAAAAGTTCTACTAAGGTGTACACGCCCATTGTCACTGACGAGCTAGTTAATTTTTATTTCAGGCTCTTTGATAGGATCATTCTTTAAACGCATCAGTGACATTTTGGGGCAAATCATCTGATTTGTGGTTGGTGGTTGAGAAAAAATTTCATTATGTTCAAGCAAAGCACCATCATCGATTATATAACCCTTGTGAATTTCAAATTTTTATCTCTTCAAATAATAAAACTACAATATATACAACACATGGTATTTGTGTTTGTTCTTCTACAACTGACGTCATCATCGGGCGTATGTAAATATACAATGAAGTCAGAGGGAGAGGAAGGGTTATTAGTTTTTTTTTTATCTTTTGGAGCGCACGAAAGGGAATCATCACAACGTTCGGATAGGAATAGTTTAATTATCTCCATGAATTTGAAAATACACAAAGCACCTAGCGAAATCCAGTCAATCATGCCTCTCATATCAAACCGTGAAAATTAAATCTATCGATGAAATGATGAACATTGAATGAGGATACATGTACCTACTAATTCTAGAATTTTTTCTAACAAAAAATTGAACACATCATTTTTCAAACAAGTTTTTATAAAAACATTTTTAAGGCAAGCTTTTATAAAAATGCACTACACAGACACACCTTCACAGCTCACAGACAGACACCGGTACAGGTGGAAGTGAATGAAAGCTTGAAGCTTCTAATTGTAAAAATATCTGACAGCAAGAGCCCCCACATACCAATTTTGAATATAAATTCGGACCAAAACCACAAAACTCACCCGCCATCTTGAATTTCGCAATTTCGATGAAAGAATCATAATTTCCGACCCAGACAACCCCCAGATACCAATTTCGAATAGAATCGGATCATAATAAATACAAAAATCGTTCGCCATATTGGATCAGCCATATCAAATTTCACAATTGTGGCGGAAGAATCATATTTGCCGTCCCAAAAAAACCCAGATACCAATTTTGAATAGAATTGGATCATAATCACAAAACTCATCCGGCATTTTGGAGCCGCCATTTTGTTTTTTTCACCAGAATGATTTACACCTGCCAAATTTCATATCAATCAGACGATTAGAAGTATGTCATATTTAGCTTGCAAGATTTGATTACACACAGGCAGATACCAGGTGAAACTAAATAAAAGCTTGTTTCAAAATTGAGATCCTTGTCAAAAGCCATCAGCCAGTGGTGACGTTATTAGTATGTCGTATGACTTTCAAACCACTTGCCCAATTAGTCGAGTGTTCTATTTTTTTATTTCTTATATAGAATCATCACTCATATAATTCAGAACGAACTTCCTTCAGGTAAGTCGTTTGTTCTGTTAATTATATTTCGTATTCCTCGTCCAAATAGATATTACACTGGTAGTATCACTATCAGTGTAATATCTATTTGGACGAGGATTCTCATATAATTCAGAACGAACTTCGTTCAGGTAAGTCGTTTGTTCTGTTAATTATAACTTATTTCGGAAATCTGAGTACGCCACTGCGTGAAAATATGTGTGAAAGGCAGTTTTTACTTTCTTGATAAGTTGAAAGATAACTGAGATACAGGGGGGTCCCAAAATGCAATATTTTCAATTTCGCCCTGTATCTCAAAAACGAAATGTTTTATGTATCGTAAGTTTCACAAAAAAGTAGCCAACGTTCGCGAAAATCGCAAATCTCTATCTTTGAAGATAAGTGAGGATATCTCATAAGGACATTGAAAATGGGACAGCCTGTACATATAAACGAGTAAATTTTATGCTGTTCATTAAATAATCTTCCTAAATATCACTCGATAATATAGAACAACAATATGGTCTCATTAATATTATTCATGAAATTGTCAAAATACAAGGTTGGTAAGTATACTCTCGATTACCATGCGGTTTTGTGATGTTAGTTTTGATAGTTAACTTTTAATCGGGAATGGATACATTATTGATAGGGGAATGTTTCGTGAATCGTCATAGATGTCATCCTTCTTCCGCGTTTTTTGATGATTTGGAATATTGTAGATTCAGATTTCAATAATCATAAATAGTGTTTTCTATGAAATGTCTCGTGAAAATAATGTCTGTCATAAATATTCCTTCTTACTGCAGTCTGGACCCTGATCTACACACTTTCACTTCGAAGTTTTGAATGAGATGTATTCAACTTCGATGATTTGTTTCAGGTACAAAAATAGTATACGAGAAATCGTTCCTCATGAATTTGCGCAACTCCCCGATTTCCAAAACTCCGCCGACTTTTGAAATTCCTGAGAACCTGATGCCGGGTTCTTCCCCGAAGGCCCACGGAATTTCTCAGAAGACTAACAAGTTGTCAACGCCAAAGAAGAACCAACACCAGAACGTTCAAGAAGATCAGTTTCAAATTGAACTGTGATCCGCATATCACTGCTGCTATTTTAATGAGTTTGTAGGTATTATGGCTGACCATATTTTAAATAAGCTGTGACAAAGTAATTGATGATTTTCACGTTTCTGTGAAAAACTACTCGATCATGAGTATGGAGACTTGTTGATTAATTGTAATATTATTTTATATTTTGCGATTAGTTTTGTTTTTTGTATTTACTGTGTGTTCCTAATTTTATAGGAACATTATTATGTAAATAAACAAAGCTTTCCAATCCATTATTATTATTTTCATCTCACCATGAAAATGAAGATGAAATCAAAAAATCTTGCTTATAAATTAAGACCATCTCAAATCATAATACCAGAAAGCACTGATCTAGATAATATAAGGTAGGAAGTAGAATTTTGGAGGAACTCTACTGCTTAGGAAATCCATTTACAGTGGCCAGGTAGCCGTGCGGACAGAGTGTCCATATTCTAATCCGCATTCGCTTGCCGGTCGTGGGTTCGAGTCCCGTCGACTGCAGAAATTTTTCTGATGGCCCAAGAAAGTGTTTGGGATCACACGTTAAAAGGTAAGGCCCCCGTCATTCCTTGCTCGCACAAGACTCTCGAAGACTTCTGAGGGTTGCTCGTAAGGGGGCAACCGAATGACGGATAGAACAATTTTAGAACAATTTAGGGTGATCCAAAATTCGATGTGAATATTTTCAAGGACGTATTGTTGGGATCAAAATAAGACTATCTGAAATTTTCATCATAATAAAGGATAAAAGGATCAAATCGTCTGAAAATTGCCCCTGTTTCTTTACGCGCTCTCCTTCTTTTTGCTTCAAAAATTATGTTAACCCAGTTTGGGGTGCATTTTAGGAAACAAGTTTTTATAAAGAAAGAGTCTTATTTTGATCGCAACAATATGTCCTTGAAATATTAACATTGAACTTTGAATCACCCTGTATTATGCTCTCGCCCCAACTACCCCCAAAACGAGAAAATCATAATAGGAAATTGAAAATGGACATTTAGTCCACAGGAATTGGAATATTGGTATGGAATAATGTTATTCGTGTTTTTTCAGGTACCTTTATATACCGGGTGTCCCAGAATACCTGTTCCAATGAATAATCTCAGCCATTTCGAAAAATTAAAATTCGAAAATTCCATGATCTCCAATTCGTTCAAGGAAGCGTCAACTGAGAAAAACAAAAATTGAAAGTCACTTCCGGTTTGACTCTCAACTTTTTTATTTCAAATAGCACCCTGTATATTTTTTGCAAATTACCGTTCCAACGATGAATCACAATTCATATTTTAAATTTGATTCGATGGAGAAAACGACAACTGAAATCTCAAATTGAACGAATTGCAGTAGGCTACGATATTTTGTAATCTTGATTTTGACTTCAATAATAATCTCAAATTATTAGAATTGTAGTAGATCATGTTACTTTCATCTTTCGAAATGGCTGAGATAATCTATTGGAACAGGTATACTGGGACACCCGGTATATAAGGTGACATTGAAATGAATACAAATATTTCAAATCCTGAAGAAGCTCGACGTGTACTGTCGAATGGCCCCAATAAATAAAGTTTCAGGGATCAAAATAAAATGTTTTTTTCCACCCAAAGTTCTATACACTGTAGCAATTCTGACGTCACCTCTGTTCAAATTTCCTTGCGTCAGGCCCAATCACACGTTCAATCATGTAAATTGTTTTAAAGTGGCGCACTTGATTTTTCTCCCCGTTTTTTGTCAAATTTTCTGATTGAAATTTCTCGATAACTGAAAGATTTGGGAAAAATCTGATACTTTGGAAATATTCCTAATACTGTATTATATCGATTTACTGACTGTGTACTTATATTTCTAAAACCTCCTATTTTGGATGTTTGATTTTACAACCCACAGATACACAAAAAATAAGGTTCCATAACATTTTCTTTTCAGAACAATTAATACTTTCTATGGTTAATCCCTGTGAAAAATTATATTTAAAATAAAAACAATTAATTTTTTTTATACTGAAACGCAAAATGTATTAAAAATCATTCATGAATATGATTTTGAAAATGCCTATGCTTTTGGTTTGGTATTCATTATACAATGTGTCTCACTTCTGATGGATACACCCTTGTATATATTATCCAATTATGAACGTATGATTCTGAAATTCTCAATGATGCGATCATCTTCAGTGATATACACTGCTCGCCAGTAGCTTAGTTAATCTATCTTGCCTCCTAATATCATTATCATAATAATTGATAATCCCTTGATCATTAAGTGGCTTTACGGTTACTCTGCTCTTGCTCCTGCGAATCAGAAATGTGCCTTCATAATTAGAGATTATACACATTGTTTTTTTATCAAACATGAGATAAGAATTGTTCTGAAACGAAAATATCATGGAACTTTTTTATGTGTTATTCTCGTATCTTCTTATTTGAATTGATATAATTTGGTTGTAAAATCTATAGGAATCAAGAAAATCGCGGAAAACCATTTCGGAGCAAGTTTTTTGACGGTCGTGGTCATGTCGTGAATGATGTCTATCGCTCTTCGTAACTGAGTTTGACCTTGAAAGTACGAATAAAATATTACTTGATATATTCTCTATTATTAAAAAAAAGTTGCCCCTCAAATCATTTTATTTATAATACTTTCAAAATGACACCATTGAAAAAATATAGGTAGGTATTATAATACGATCTAGATAGGCATACTGTGTCCGTAAAGTATAGAACAAATTCGATATTTCCTAAACAAAAAAGCCTTTTCAAACGAGCTGATTTCATCAATGCATCACACTTGGGGTCTAGCTGTAATGGTTTCAGGGATATAAAGTGTTCAAAATCGAGATTTTTCAACTTTAGCATTTTTTTGTGTCGAAACTATTCATTATTGGTCAAAACGGCTTTCATGTCCCTAAGTTGTGATTTACTATCTACTGACATTTATTTGAAACAAATACATCAGGGTGGTTCAAGATTCAGAATTCTGATCACCCTGTATCTGTTCCAATCAAATGTTGGTAGATAGTAAATCACAAGTTGAGATAGGGACATGAAAGCCGTTTTGACCAATAATGAATAGTTTCGACACAAAAAAATGCTCAAGTTGAACAATCTCGATTTTGAACACTTTATATCCCTGAAACCATTACAGCTAGACCCCAAGTGTGATGCATTGATGAAATCAGCTCTCCAGGGAGAATCTAAAAATGCAATAAAATACAAGGTGTTCCATTTGAAATAACAAAGTTGTTGCTTCTTTTCGTTAGAAGCGGCAACGCCACAGGGCTGAAAATATTTTAAATCGATGTCCCCCTCGAAAATGTAGTTGACGTGTTTCAGATATTTTTTAAAAGGCTTTTAGTTTAGGAAATATCGAATTTGTTCCATACTTTACGGACACAGTATATAAATAAAGGTGAATAGTGGAGAAGGAAACGACGTTGCCACGGTTTATAAAAATCATAAGATAGAAAATAAAGTTCAATTCTGGCAAAATCTGGATGTTTCTTGGACTTGAGTGAATCATGTTGAATAAGTTTTGAATTTAGTATCTTCTGGCTAAGTCTTTCATCTTTTTTTTGACATTCAATTCTGTCATACTGTGTTCTCGATCTCGTAACTTCCAGATATTTCCATATGGATCTGGGTTCTTCGCATGGAATTGACCCATTGAACATCTTTTAGTCATTCGATATTAATACAGGGTGTTCCTCAAAGACTTGCTAATTTCTTTGACTCATTTTAAGAAGAAAATTCTATATGAACGTATGTCCTAAAAGTCTTAACTTTTTAGATACTGGGTGATGAAGTTTCGAAAAATATTCAGTTTTTCCTCAATAACTGAGACAATATTGTACACATCTACATGGAATTTGGTACATATGTCTTTTAAGTATCAAGGTGCGTTTTCCGATGTAAAAAAATCACTTCCTCTACCAGTGGCACTGTTACGGGAATAATATTGTTTATATTTTACTAAAAAGTGAGTAACGACAGGAAATTTTCAAATTTCGTACAATGCTATGAAAGGCTATTCAATTATATGTACAAAAAAGATCCTCTTGTTCATGCTCGATAGAACGCTTTAGACGAGCGAATTTCGAGAGCAAAGTCGCTTAGTTTCTGAGATAAAAAAAACTGGCGTAGAACCAGGTAAAACCTGGTCCATTCCTCCAGTTAGGTGTTCGTGTACACGAAATCACTTTTTACGACATTTTTTAGTGGTCGTGAACTTTTTAATTTCAAAAAACTCGAAAAAATGGATTAATATGTAAAACATGTTTTTTTACGTCTCCACCGTTATATCTCTCAAAGTAATTGTGGTTTTGAGCTGATTTTTTTTTAAATTAAAGAAGATTCAATAGCGGTTCTAACCACCTACTTTGTGATTTTGATATATTTTTATTCGATCTGTTGAAATGATAACAAACTTGACATCGATATTTTTGTAGATGTAAATTATAGCAATCGATAAAAAAGTTTATTATTGGAAATTTGTGTATACATTATGCGAACAAAATGGAGAGAATGTATGAAGAAAGTTTTTGGAATGATAATTTTTCATGTATGTATGTATGTATACAATCAGCGATTTTAACAAAACAGGCTAAAATTGCGCTCGGGCGCGCCCGGCTCTCTATTACCCAGTTTATGTCTGTCGACTACATAGGTAGCAGATCCGTACGTACGTTATGGTCGGACTTCTGATGGGATAATACCTTTTAATGTTTATATTTCAAAATATTGAACTATCTAAATGATATATCAATCAATGTTTCAAACTAAATTCTTTCCTTTTCCTCCAGAATGATTATTTAATCATTTTTGACCGGAACTTAAAACGTATGCATAAAACAACTTTTATTTTTTCAATTATTCCAATAGATTAGGTACATCAAAAGTATTCAAGTTCGTCAATTTCTCCTATATCTTCCTCAGAATCTTCGGTAACATTATTACAAAAACGACATTTACAATCTTCACAACATTTTAGGCATTCTTTGAAACAACCACATATTCGACTATCACAATTTTTATCCGAACAAAAGATACTTTATGATTGCCCAACAGAACCAGGAATTATTTCATCATTCGAAAATATTGCAATCCAAACGTTGTTATTCAAATTCCATCCTGAACCATCTGTATTTATAATTGGTGTTGCTATGTTGCTGCTGAACCATATTCTGAGTTGATATATACACCTAAAATTTCAATAGTCAACTGAAATATTG